GCCGTTTGGGTGGGACAAAAAGTAACCATCGAAATGAAAATTACCACATACACCTCGTTCTAAAATTACTTTAGCAGAATTTGGTAAGCATGCTTCCTAGGTAGTACCCCTTCTTTAAATGGTACACGGGGGTTGGATGGCCGAATGGTTAGCACGTGCGCGCTGTATCATAAGGCCTGTCATTGAGTCAACTGGCGTGGTTTCGAATCCCCGGTTGTACGTGACAAGAAGTAGGGTCGCCTGTCCAACCTCGTGGGTTTTCTCCGGGTCCTCCGGTTTCCTCCCACTGCTAAAGACCCCTACGCGCAAGCGAATTATTGAAAAAAAAATTAAAAACTATATGTTAGTCCCGAAATGACCTGGTTTGTGTCGAGTGGACGTTAATCTCTCTCTCTCTCTCTCTCTCTTTAAATGGTACACGATTTAGCATGTTACGAAATGTTGATTTTGTGAGTTTATCTTGTTAGACTATATAATAGTCTGTTGGAGTTAAAAAGAAACCACCAGAATGCAGGAGAAGCTGTGTTATTATATAGGTCAGATATTTTATGACGGAATACCTGATGGGAGTTGAAAGGGCTTCATGAACTTAAACATGAATTAAGTATCTACTTTAACCGTAAATATAAAGGTCTTGTACTTTATCTCTCAAAGAGAGAGAGAGAGAAAGAGAGAGAGAGAGAGAGAGAGAGAGAGGGAGAGGTGGGGTTTAACGTCCACAAACCAGTTCATTTCGGGACTAACATGGTTCAATTTCATTTCAATAATTCGCTTGCGCGTTGGGGTCTTTGGCGGTAGGAGGAAACCGGAGGACCCGGAGAAAACCCACGAGGTTGGACAGGCGACCCTACTCCTTGTCACGTACTGTACAAACCAAAAGTAGGAAAACACTACTTGAAGAGGGCCATTTGATTGGCCAGTAGACTAAAGGCGTACTCAATATTTTCTATAATATTGGAAATTAAAAACAGAGCTCCAAATTGGACCAAATATCTTTAGAAAACGTTACGTCATGACTCACGATTTTATTGCGCCCAATGAACCAGTGCATGGCAGAATATTGCAGAAAAACTAATTGCGTGACAAACGAGGCTATGAAAACGGATACAATGTAAACAATACTGTTTGGAGACGAACAATACTTTCACAGTTTTTAATAGCTTAAAGGAGCTAAATCGTTAATATTTGGGACCTAGAAATTGATACAAATGACACATATAATAATGTAATATGAATGTATATAAACTGATTTGCATTCAATCGTTTCCGTTTTTATACTAGTTTCAAATCAGTTATGTTCGGCGAAATACGCGAGAAGTCTCAGTTGAATGGAAATCTCTAGCGTCTGGATATTCCGGTCTACACCGATAGTATGTATTTCGCATGCTCTCTAGTTAAGAAAATGGCGTCACCGTTTGACATAACTTGTGGATATGGCGAACCACGTTCTTCTGAGTCCCTTGTTGCAAATGGCGCTAAAACATATTATGGTACACGATTCGTGTACCAATCGTAAAATGTTTATTTTGTCTTAAATATTGGATATCAGAAGCCCATCTTTTCCCGGTATGACCAGAATATCAATGTTGATATAATTTGACAAATAATTCGTGTTTATGTCAAAGACTGTGGGTGATATTGAGTTAGAGACTTAGCTACTTTAAATCACTGTCCAAAGTTTTAGTGGAAAGACCCCAGATTAAACGAAGGCCTTCCGTGTTGCTGTACTTGGGATAGATTTGATTGAACGGTAAGAATAGACACACTCCCTGAAAAGTTCAAGTATCAGAAGCCAATCCAGCAATGGCCAGGGAGGGATTTCTCGGGCCATTACTTCAGAATATGTGTGTAGATACGTACGGATACGATCAACACGATCCCTACGACTAACCTCAATATATGATAAGGCCTGATAAGATCACCACGATTGCTCCACGACTAGAACCACGATTTCAATTGAAGCACGAATCGTGATAGTGGGAACCCAGCATTAAATGTAGAATCACTGCGAGGAGTCTCTGAAGTATATATTGACCATTGAACATGTTTCAGATCGTCAACTAGAAATGAAGGCTGTCATGATTCCGTTGTCGACCGAGAAATTTTTTTTTTTTAACATATGCAGAATCATGGATTTGTGACATTGATGAACTGATTTTACATAATGTTAGTGTTTACATCTGTGACCTGATCACCAAGTGCAACAAGTTGTTCGTTTATTATTCATCATGACTACAAGAAACACAATTTTAAAAAGCAGGTGTCAACAAAGAGTTGTAATTACATACAACTAGATATGTTAAGCCTACAGAAGATAATAATATAGACATAGCAAGAACACGTGTTAACTATAATTAAAACAGTAACACAGAAGAAAACTTACGAATGAATGTTTGAATTCATTACACAAAATCTGAAGCGACAGGTAGCGACAGTTAGTTAAACATGCATTATGCAAAATGCAAGAGCTAAATCTTCCTATTGGAGTTCTTTCTTTAGGCTTGAAATGTTATCTAAATTAATTAGACATTAATTAAAGATACATTATGGGAGATTCGATAACGAGTTGGCAGTTCTCACTATCATAGTTAAAAACTAGATAATCTAAAGGCAATTTGCTGAAAGTAAAGTTATGCAGTAAATCGGCTCATAATCCACTAAAGATCGCAGGCTAGCGATGCCATCTAGAGTTGATTATGGTCTGGATAGGTTAATTAATGTCTAATTAATAGTTGAGATTACATTTCTGGCCTAAAAAAAGACCTGCAATAGGCAGATTTAGCTCTTGCATAATGCATGTTTAACTTATCCAGACTATAATCAACCCTCGGTGCCATTGTTAGCCTGCGATATTTTGTGGATTTAAATACATTTTATGATGGATAATTTAACGTAAAAGATAATAGAGACTTGGTTTATTATCGCACTAAAGTTAGTTATGACGTTCGAGGCTAGCCTAAATTTGAATCGCTAATATCTCGGTTCAGAGTGAAATATTCTGTTTTTATTATCTATGTCTAACTATTATAGCAAGAACTGCCAGCTCTTGATCTAATCGGGGGGTTGGGTCGCCCAATGATTAGCACGTGCGCGTTGTATCATAAGGTCTGTCATTGAGTCAACTGGCGTTGTTTTGATTCCCTGGTTGTACGTGACAAGGAGTAGGGTCGCCTGTCCAACCTCGTGGTTTTTCTCGGGGTCCTCCGATTTCCTCCGACTGCTATAGACCCATATGCGCAAGCGAATTATTGAAATAAAATTGAACCATGTGTTAGTCCCGAAATGACCTACATGTAGTTTGTGTCGAGTGGACGTTAACCCCCCTCTCTCTCTCTCTCTCAATCGCTCTCTCTCTCTCTTGATCTATTCTTACCTAAATCCCCTCAAAGATTAACCCAAACCGTTAAAGAACTTGAAAGATTAGTGAAATATCAATTTGGACATAGGTCAATTACTACTTTAACTAAAATTATAAAATAAAATAAAGACAAAGATACACTATAACACTTAGATAATTTGGAAAGTGGCAACGGACTTTTTTTTATTTCTAGGGTTAATCGTGCACGAATCTTGTCGATTTTAAGCCGCTTTCTATTAATTGAATATCAACTGCCAAGAGATCTTCACGTGCCCTACCAATTTTTACATATGACCTCTGATTTTCTTATCATCCGAAGGACCATACGTGGCCAGCAACACGGACAAGAAGAAATGAGACATGGAAATCCCGGGATCTTTCTCGGCCAACATCGGGATCGAGTCCTGGAGCCACTGGCTAGCGATCTAAAGCCTTACTCACTGAGCCACCGTAGCTCCTTGTTCACATGAAACTATCGCCCAGATATATGTAAAATTTATCCGGTAGACTTGGTAGGTGTCTCTGTACAGAACGCTAGGTAAAGCAGAAGTTCTATATGCAATAAAATCAATATATTAAACTTTTGTTATTGTCATACGATGATTAATCGCCTCCGCATCCTACGCCGTTCTAAAATAGTACATTTTTAAAGTTCACCTGTCATATGTTGAATATTAATGTCCCTGGCTATGAAAACCAAAATTACACCCTCGTTCTTTAAAGAGGCAAGTCTTTAACTCAATATCATTCAAAGTCTTCGACGTTGAAAACACGAATTATTTGTCGATTTAAATAAACATTTGTGTTGTTATCTTATCGCGAAAAGATAAACTTCAGACATCCAATATTTAAGACAAAATAAAGATACATTATGTAATAATTAGATTAAAATAAGCTGGTCGTTCTTGCTATAATAGTTTAAACATAAATAATACAAAATGAATATATTGAAAATTTCATTTAAATTACTTTATTCTGAGCCAAGTTATCACTGTTGTAGTTTTGACAAGATGTGTGCATTGATTGTTCATTATCGTAACCACGGTACCAGTATATTCGAGACTTAGACTCGCTCCTCCATTTTAAAATTAAATCGTTAAATTGCCGAAAAGATCTAATCTAGTTAAAATCTCGAGCATCCGATGGCGCCGACTGTTGATTATAGTCTTGTCATGTTATTTAATGTCTAACTAATAATTTATATAAAATTTCAGGCCTGAAGAAAAATCTGCAATGGGCAAATTTAACACTTGTATAATGTATCATCCATTATGTTACCTGTATATCGAATTAATCAGACGTGTTGCACGTGTTCACGGGAAACTGTGAATTATGTATTACAATAAGATATTTAATTACAGATGTCCTGATTATATTACGAGTATTAATATATTACGTATATCATCATGTGTACTTCACAAACAGATGTACTTTTATATGATTTATATTAGGGAATATTATACATGGCGTACAGGGCGAATCAAAGCGGGGTTGGGTGGCCGAATGGTTAGCACGCGCGCGCTGTATCATACGGTCTGTCATTGAGTCGACTGGCGTGGTTTCGAATCCCCGATTGTACGTGACAAGGAGTAGGGTCGCCTAACACATGGTTCAATTTTATTCAAATAATTCGCTTGCGCGTAGGGGTCTTTAGCAGTGGGAGGAAACCGGAGAACCCGGAGAAAACCCACGAGGTTGAACAGGCGAATCGAAACCACGTCAGTTGACTCAATGACAGACCTTATGATATAGCGCGCACTTGCTAACTATTCGGCCCATCCAACCCCCGCCCGCTTTTTTATAGTGCATGTACATGTAGTTAAATATACGTTTCATTTGTTAAACAATTCATTTGTTTTGTAGTTTTTTGTATTTTGTTTCAAAAAGAAAAATCTTTAAAAGAAACGAAACAACTTTTTCTAAACGAGAACACGATAATACCATGAGGATTGTGAAATAGCTTCTACTCCAGGCAAGCAAGTTTTTGCTATACGAGACGAAATATATAGAGAGCCTGTCCTACCACATTCTTTACACACGGTAACAGATGTAAACATCAACTACTGTATGTAATAGGATTGTCAACTTGAGGTCGTTGAGCGTGTCAAGTGACAACAAAGCCAGCAAAACGAAGTTTCTGTGCAACAACTGGAGTCTAGTGACATTCCTCGTCCGGGAAATATGTCACTGCGTAAACCCAAATTAAAGTTGCTTATTAAAAATGAAATGAGGTTTAACGTCCTACTGTTCTACTGGGCTAATGATGATGGGCATACGTTAAACAGTGTACTATGAGGGATATTTTGCCCGGGCAGCGGCATTATGACCTACTCTTTATATCGAATTCCAACTGCCAATGGATCTTTTACATACACACCAGTGTATGCATGGGACCTGTTTGTCTTCCCATCCAAATGACTAGACAGCTGTTCTTGTCAGGCCCTTCATCATGCTTCACTGACAAGGGGAAACCATTCCAAAAAATCCTGATGAACTGTCTTGGCCAATGCAGGGATCGAACACCTGACCTCCAGGCTAGCGATCCAGCGTCTTACCCACTTAGCCACCGTGGCTCCGCTATTGAACATTGGAAGTACCAAGTCTCAAAAACATTTTTGTCAGGTTTCATGTATTCCCAAATTATGTATGCAGTGAGCCCAGGACTAGCTTTGGTTTCGGTACAATCTCCAGCTGCTTTAATGTTAAACTGGGTTCTGGAGGTGACATAATGTATGACCTGGTGAATTGTTGGGATAAGATATATGCTGTTTTGGTTAATCAAAATTATCCAAAGCATATTTTTTTAAATACATAATCTCTATCAATTTTCAATTAAAATATTGCAACTATCTTTACTCAGCAACCGATCTTTTTTTTTTTACACCCTTTTTGCTTTGACCCAGTCAGCTGTGTCATCTAATACATTAAGCTTTTCAGCCATACACAGTAAATTCCCAAGATTCTTTTTATAATCATCTGACGTGGATGGGGAGGGAGAGAGAGAAATGGGGTTTAATGTCCACTTGACACAAACTAGGTCATTTCGGGACTAACATACGGTTCAATTTAATTTCAATTATTCCCTTACGCGTAGGAAACTGGAGGACCCAGAGAAAACCCACGAGATTGGACAGGCGACCCTACTCCTTGTTATGTACAACCGGGGAATTGAAACCACGCCAGTTGACTCAATGACAGGCCTTATGATACAATGCTCACAGCTAACCATTCAGCTGATATGGATGGCTTTTTGTTAACTTGTTCTTTATGCCAATTGTTTGATAGATTAGTAGGCAAACTAGGTCATTTCAGTACTAACTGGTGTATCTTCATTTGAATTATTTGCTTGCATGCAGGGTTTTCAGAAGTGGGAATAAAATTGGAGAACCCAGAGAAAACCCACAAAGTTTGAAAGCACAGCCACATGAATCGATGACTGACCTAAGCGCATGACTGTGTTAGTTCACCCAATCCTCTATAGTAAATAGTTAAATAGGCCATGTTTGTTATTCTGTGTCAATGTTCTAACAAGTATGGCTTACTATTATTATTGTATAATACTAGACTATTATACTTATTAATGTATCAAATTATTCTAACTAAACAATACATTCATTCTAGTATGTATAATGACCTGGTTAAAACTAATCCCTGGAATTTGCAGACAATACTTGCATTTCACATATTGTATTACAATAATTTGCATTCAATATTCGAGAACAATGCTTAAACAATATTGGAATTGATTCTACATCGTTCAAGTAGAAATAAAAGAAAATAAATACAGGTATTTTAAAGTCGTTATTGAGTTATTTCTGTAATGTATGATCATAGATAGAAATATAGAATAGTTTTATTAAAGGAGAAATCTCAGATATATTTCACTGACTAAAACTGAAGATGGAGACTTGCTTCTTAATTAGCAATAACTTTGTACTTGATAATCTATCTACAACTCAAACGGTTGTGGAATTGACAACTATCTAGAATACCATGATGTTTTTTGGTTTTATTTTTCAGAAATTGTGTTTGCAGGATCCTGTAAAAACTGTGATTTTTCCTTTAAGATTTCATATTATATAACAATAAATGCAGAAACATAATATACATCCTCCCAGCCTTCTGAAATAACTAAATTAATAAGGAACATTTCCCCAAGTTTTATCGTCCCTACACTGTGTAAATGTAGATGGGGTCCTAACAAACATTTGTAAAATATTCCAAGAGGTCTGCAAGTGGGGAAGTATTTGGAACCACTGATGTAAAGAATTGTTTTCAATTATTAGTGGGTATCTTATGTAAATCCACTGCCGGTATATAAATGTTTCATGACACTAAAACAAATGAGAGAATAATCCCTCAGTCAAAATATTAAAGTCTGTAAGATCAGGGCTGTATATTGCATTCAAAAATCTCAATTTCAAGAGAAAAACCTAGGTTTCATAAATTAAGCTGCAATGGAAACAATTTTGCATTTTTATCCTTATACCACAGATAAACATCTAAAGTTACAATAAACTATAACACACACATATTCTCTCAATAGCTTGATAACATTGAGAAAATACTCTTCGAAATGTCGCCCAAATAAATCAAGTAGCTGTTTTTCCATAAGTATGTGTTATAGTTTATTGTTCTATCCAGTTACTAAATGCCTCTCAAAGATTACTAAAGTTACAAGTAATTTGTACAAATTCTTCTTGAGCTATTGTTTTCTGGAATATTAATGAACTGAAGAATATGAAAAGGTGTTTAGTTACAAACAGCCTATTTCCAAACAAAATGAAAGTAGTGTGAAAATATTAATACACCAGATTTTGTATGATATGTATTGCGGAGGATCTGTATTGCAATATATCTATATATCAGGGTTTTTAACAGCCCTTGTAGTTGTAAGATGCACAAAAACAGTTGATTAAAAGTTTTTTACCATTAATAATACCAATGTCAATACATGCATGTCTATGAAATTTACCCCACAGCAAAATATATTATATTGTATAGTTCTCAAATAAAACACTATTTATAGATAACAATTACTATAGTTATTACACTGTGATGTTTCAACATCATTTAACAGTTCCTAATCATGCATATGTAAGTGTTGACATGTGCTTGATAACAACTTGTGAAATTTTGTTAAATTCTTGCAGTGTAATAAAACCATAGTAATTGTTTAGAGAATTATATATTCTAGGTATATTTACACATCTTAAACAGTAATCAATTTGAAAATTGTTAAATATATATCTACCCCTTTATTTATAAGTCAAATGTACATAAAAGAAATATATCTCTATATTTATATTCATTTGAAATTAATTAAACATACATTATGGGAGATTACATAAAGAGCTGGCGGTTCTCACCATAATAGTTAGAAAATAGATAATGTAAAGGGAATTTGCTGAAAATTTCAGTCAAATTGATCCACCCTGAACCAAGTATTTAGCGATTGAATTTTGATTATGGTCTGGATATTTTAATGTTTATTAATATTTTAGATAACATTTCAGGCCTAAAGAAAGACCTGCAATTGGCAGATTTAACTCTTGCATAATGTATGTTTAATTAAAAAACAAAATTGTGAGAATATTCTAGATAAACAATAGTAGAGATGGACGGAATGATAAACCAGGAACTAGAATGAAGAGTTGATAAAATGACACATATATACACTTTAAAAATAAACGGTTTACTTTATACAAGAATAAATATACAAACAATATATTACAATTTCATATTTTATTTTAAAAGAAAAACATTTTTTATCTATTTTTTTCCTGTTAATGCTAGTCTCCTTTTCATCAGTCTGTGGGTCGAACTTGAAGCGTAATTTTCTGTTGATTGTCTAAACATTCTCGTAATTTGTTTTCAGTCATTGTCAGTCTTTGTTCTAACAAGGAAACCGTCTGAAAGAAACAAGGAAATAACAAAATAATTATTCAACTTTATAATTTATGTGCTTATGCAATAACATTATAATGTTACAATGTCATAATAAAGAAACAGGTTAATTTCATGCACAAAAAATTTGAACCAAGGCCCTACAAAAAAAAATGTTATTAATTGAATGTAATTAATAACCATTACCCATTACATTGAATGTAATTAATTACCTTAACCCATTAGATTGAATGTAATTAATTACCAATACCCATTACATTGAATGTAATTAAATACCCATTACATTGAATGTAATTAATTGCCATTACACATTACATTGAATGTAATTAATCACCGAATGTAATTAATTACTATTACCCATTACATTGAATGTAATTAATTACCATTACCCATTACATTGAATGTAAATAATTACCATTACCATTAGTTACAATGGTTGTCATTGAGTAAGGTATGTATATTGTATACTCTAAGTCGTCATTATATACTATTCAAAAAAAGTAGGGGATATTTGATTTTGGGGGCATAATACTAAAATATGCAAATGACTACGAAAAAAGTCACTATAGAACCTAACAGAAGAAACATTTCCAGTTACATGTGACGCCCAAACGCACCAATAGCTACCGCATGGAATGCAGGTGATGCTTGGGATCATCATGGGGGTCCAACCCAAGATTTGCACGACTCTGACTTTGAATGTTACAGTCATTGTGGCATTGAATTCCAGGGTGAAAACATCAGTTTAATTGTTTTAGTGACCAGAAAACAAATTTTGATATGCGTCGGCTTACCCAAAATGAAAGGTTACGTGCCCTTGGCATGCTACAGATCGGCACAACACAGGCGGTTGTGGCGCGGACGATGAATGTTTCTCAGTCTGTCATAAGCAGGCTATGGTCCAGATACCGTGATACACAATCTGTACAGGACAGACCACGCTCAGGTCGACCAAGGGCGACAACTCAAGCCCAGGATCGATTTATCCGTACCTTGGCCTTGAGAAATCGTGTCATCACAGCAAATCAGATCAGCGCTCGTCTTCAAACAGACACTGGTGTGAGAGTGAGTGGCCAGACGATTCGGAATCGACTGCATAGGGGTCACCTTCGCGCCCGACGTCCTCGCGTGATCCCTTGTTTGAGAGATCATCACATTCAGGCAAGACGTCGTTGGTGTAGGGATCGTCAACACTGGGATAATCGACGCTGGAGCAATGTGATGTTTTCAGATGAGTCAAGGTTCACTGTTGATTTTTTGGACAGACGTAGGAGGGTGTGCCGTCGTCGAAACGAGCGCTTCCAAGACGTTAACGTCATCAGACATGATCGATTTGGGGGTGGTTCTGTTATGGTGTGGGGAGGCATCACTGTTGCTGGAAGAACGGCTTTACATGTTGTTGCAGGGCGTGTTACAGGCCAGTACTACCGGGACAACATCTTGGCAGTCCATGTTGTGCCGTTCGCACGACGTCATGGCCGCCGTTTCATCTTCCAGGATGACAACGCAAGATGTCACAGGGCCAGGATCGTTACAGGTTACCTCCAACAACAGAACATCACCACATTACCTTGGCCAGCACTGAGTCCCGACCTCTCCCCCATCGAGCATGTCTGGGACATGCTTGGACAGAGGTTACGTCAACGTCAACAACGTCCTGCCAATGTCCAAGAACTTGCTGCTGCGTTGCAACAGGAATGGGACAATCTGGACCAAAATGACCTTAGACGTCTCATTAGGAGTATGCCACGTCGGATCAATGCTTGTTTGGCAAACAGAGGAGGATTTACCCGTTACTGACTTGGTTGTGATGCTGTGGTAATTTTGCTGTTTGACCCCGGGTATCATTTTACCCTTATAATGGTCAGTCTGTGCCTTACTTAGTCTAACGATCATTTGGAATAAATCGATGAATGTGAACTTCATTTCATTTTGTCATTTGTTTCTTCGTCAGTTTCATTAGGTGACTTTAATAACACTTAAAAATCAAATATCCCCTACTTTTTTTGAATAGTATATTTACGCCCACTGATTTGATTGAGGTAGTACTTGAATTTTTTTAAAAAATAAATAGAAAACTAAGAGAATTGTTGTATCTCATCAATAGACATAATGTATGAAACAGGTGCCTCTTGGTTTACCATTCTCGACAAATCAAATTGTGTATCTCTGATTAGCCTAAACATAAAATTCTCACCATCGTACTCGGCCAAGATATTTACCTAATGAACACCTACAACAAGTTTAAACATTCTACCTCAATTTGAAGCAGAGTTATTGTGTCCCAAAAGGTGTGACGACCCGATGGACAACAAATGGACAGACCCATCACAACATCTACACCAAGTGTGAATATTACATCTCAATTGGAAACAGAGTTATTGTGTTTCTGAGATTGAGACAGACAGACAGAGAGAGAGAGAGAAATGTGCTTTAACGTCCACTCGACACAAACTAGGTCATTTCGGGACTAACATATGGTTTAATTTTATTTCAATAATTCGCTTGCACATAGGGGTCTTTAGCAGTGGGAGGAAACCGGAGGATTTGTAGAAAACCCATGAGGTTGGACAGGTGACCCTATTCCTTGTCACATACAACCAGGGATTCGAAACCTCGCCAGTTGACTCAATGACAGGCCTTATGATACAGTACGCACGTGCTAACCATTCGACCATCAAACCCCCCTACAAAAGATGAAGGACATCTATAGTTTGACATCTGGTAGATAATTTGTTATTTTGACCAGGTTGGGATATTATTCACACAGGATGTTTGAATTCATATTTAAAGCAAAAAATAATCATATTAATATTGTTAATGGCACTGTTGTGTGAAAATCAATTAACATCAACCATATATTTTTGGTATCCTTGTTAAATAGTACCGAGTAAACTACCTGTTTTTATTTATTACAAAAACACCTGTGACAAATATATTTATGAAGAGTGAATCTGGTATATACAGTTATTACATATATCAAATAAACAGGGTTACTTGTTTATAAGTTTGTTTGTTTTACAATATAATATATTTCAAATTAAATACCAAAGTTAAACTTTCAGAGGGATGGGGTTTAAGTCCACTTGACATAAACTAGGTCATTTCGGGACTGACACATGGTTCAGTTTTAAGTCAATAATCGTTTGTGCGTAGGGGTCTTTAGCAGGTCATGTTTATTCAATAAGTAAAAGAGAGAGAGAGAGAGAGAGAGGTTTAACTCCACTCCACACAAACTAGGTCATTTTGGGACTAACACATGGTTCGATTTTATTTCATTAATTCCCTTGCACGTAGGTGTCTTTAGCAGTGGGAGGAAACCGGAGGACCCCGGAGAAAACCCAGGAGGTTGGACAGGCGACCCTACTCCTTGTCACGTACAACCAGGGAATCAAAACCACGGCAGTTGATTCAATGATACAGTGCGCACGCGCTAACCAATCGGCCACCCAACTCCCCTGGTAAAACAGTCCTAAATTTCATTTTATAACCAAGCACTCTGACCTCACACCAAGCCCTCTGTCAACTGAGAAGGGGAAACCAGACTGGAAAATACTCAGGAATTTTTCTCAACCAACACAGGGGACCTCGAGGCTCACTATCCAAGAGGTCCTGGGTTTGAGTGGTGCAGGATCATTCGGATGGCATGATAAACCAAGGTCCTACTGTGTACTCATCTGCATTCCTGTAGATTAAACTTTAGTGGTTGGAATTAGGTGTAGAAATATCATTGTCTGGGCAAAACAAAATTCCATAATCAGGCTGGTTGGTGTACAAAACTAGACGGTAAAAGCCCAATTTCAACTACCAAACAACACAAAATATATATAGAGAGAGAAATGGGGTTTAATGTTCAACCGACACAAACTAGGTCATTTTGGGATTACAATGGTTCAATTTTATTTCAATAATGAGCTTGTGGATAGGTATTCTTTAGCATTAATTGGGAGAAAACGGGAATCGAAACGACGCCACTTTACTCAATGACAGACCTTGTGATTTCACAGCTAGATCCCCCCCATCCCACAACACAGAATAAACAGTATATGGTTAATACATTAAAAGTATTAAATGATGTTGTAATACCATGACAATATGAATTGTGAACTATAAGTTAAATATATGTACCTGTGTTAAGATGTCCAATTGACCTGCTATCGTCTCCATAAACTGTGTTAATTGTGGAGGTAATGATTTAGCTTCTAATGGTTGTGTGATAGACTGGGTATCATAGTCTTCACGATCGGCTCGTGACGACGTGTAGCCATGTTCTCGTTCTCTATTGTCAGATCGTGTTCTCTCTGATCCTACTGTCATGATGTCATCAGTTCTGTCATGATCAGATGAATAGCCATTGGTTACAGCTCCCTAAAATATACAGTTTAATAAATCAGTAACAGATAAATACTGTTTAATAAATCAGTAATAGATACATAGTTCAATAAATCAGTAACAGATATACACAGCTCCATAAATCAATAACAGATATACACTGTTTAATAAATCAGTAACAGATATACACTGTTTAATAAATCAGTAACAGATATACACTGTTTAATAAATCAGTAAAAGATATACACAGTTCAATAAATCAGTAACAGATATACATTGTTTAACAAATCGGTAACACTAACACTACAGGTTCAGATTTCCATAGTATGATCAGCGATTTGCATTTTTTGGACATTTAATTGTTTATGGTTTAATCCATGGCTTAATCTCAATGGTACATGTAGATTTAACGCCTGGTTTGGGATTCAATTGGATCAAAGACATTCATCAAAAGATTTTTCCCAACAAATATAGGTGACACTGGTTTGTTTATATCATAAGAGAATGCCAAATGTTACTAAATATTCAATTCATTATATCTTTGTTAATACTGGATAGTATTGCAAGGAATTAAAATAATAATCAGCAGCTTTAATCTTTGATGCCAATAGCCTTTGGTTAAAAATCAATTAACCTCAAAGCCAGGATTAGTTATAATTAAAAACTTGTCTGACGTCATCAAACAGATTAAAAATCTAATACCGGTATTTTAAATTGATATCTTTTACGTAAAACATCTTGGAAAATTAGATAAGATCTGACAGTTGTAAGACAATGGTATTGGCAGGTGTATCACACATCTAATAATTAAATTAGTAAGACATCACGTCAATATTATTAGAGAATATTATATGATGGCCCTTTACATGAAGGCTAATAATATATATGTATTATAATGTGTGAATGGCTGTTAAATACTAATAAGGTTGTTGATAACACCTTAACCAATTATAAATGACTCAGGTAGAAGCACTTACAAGCTTATCAAAGACCGCTTTGATGGAAGAAGACGTAAATTAGAACAATGGCTGTAATGACTACAATCTGTTATGATATATTATGTTTCTGTGTTCTGTATTGGTTGTTAGAATTATAGATATAATAACTTTTAATATGTGTTCCTGCATTGTTGAAATAAAGAAGTCAAATCCAGTCACCGTTATCATTAAAGAGCCTTTGATACTATGTTAGTGTGTTCTTGCTATTATAGTTAAAAAATAGATAATATAAAAGCAATATGCTGAAAATTTCAGTCAAATTACTTCACTCTGAGCCGAGACTCAATCATTGTTACCATTGTTACAATAATAAACAAAGTCTTGATTATTCATTTTTACGGTTAATCATCAACTGCCGTTGAACCGTATATCGCATTCAAATATTGATAACAGTTTGACAGGTAATCATTTTCACCATCTAAAATATACACAACATATGTTAGATTTTTACTTGTGGTAATTACTTGTTATATTAGATATTACTCATCATGTTCAATATTTATTTATTTATATTATTATATACTGCACTATACTCTCCCGTCAAAAGGCAACACCTACATGTAGTAACTCACGTTTTTCTTATTTTGAGAAAGTAAAGGGAAATATAATGAATGAATATTAAACCACAGCTTATCCATTGATTTGACTATTGAGTTACTAGGTTTTTCTGTGGCATACTAGGCAAATGAAGGAATGCTAGGTTGTGTCATGGGTGTAACTGCTTACAAAATCAAAAGATTGGAATATCTAGTACAACAACAGGAAGCACATACCCTAGTAACTACAAATTTGGTCCTAACTCAATTTTGATAAAAAAGTGAGTTACTAAGTTTTGACTTTTGAAGGGACACCTTTCTATCCATATATATATTTGTGACTGTCGTTTGTCTGTCTGTCTGTCTGTTCGGGGTTGGCAGCTACACTAGGTCTGCCCCGAGTAACATAGACCAGGTGGCGTTAGTCTACCACTTCCGGTGTCGGAGTTATGACCCCCGGGCGAAGTCTGTCTGTTCGGGGTTGGCGGCTACACTAGGTCTGCCCCGAGTCTGAAATTTGGGGTATAGGGGTAGCTCGGACCGGGGAGTAACATAGGCCAGGTGGCGTTAGTCTACCACATCCGGTTTCGGAGTTATGACCCCCGAGCGAAGCCGGTCTGTTCGGGGTTGGCGGCTACACTAGGTCTGCCCCGAGTCTGAAATTTGGGGTATAGGGGTAGCTCGGACCGGGGAGTAACATAGGCCAGGTAGCTCGGACCGGGGAGTAACATAGGCCAGGTGGCATTAGTCTATCACTTCCGGTTTCGGAGTTATGACCCCCGAGCGAAGCCGGGTATCCTGCTAGTATATAATAAAATGAGTGTTATCAATTCCCTAAGTTGTTTACAAAGTGGGTTGGTTTTTTTTACAGTAATCTCAACCAGTAACTATTACAGCAAGAATTAGAGGTGGTGTAGCACCCTTGACCAAAAACATTGTGACCAAGCATCCTTTGAAAGGCACCAAATAGAGCCTCCACATATCTCCCAAATAATCTCAAGTCTCCTAACTTTTCCGACCGCTCAAAATATAGCCAAAAAATCTAAATTTATCTCCCTTGAGTGGCAGTAAAGAGAGAGAGAGAAATGGGGCAGTAAATCTAAATTGCATAGATGTTCACTTTAGCATACCTGGTTTTGTATGCAAACACTATACAGGTTACTGTTTCGCCTGTCTGATACCAAATATTGGCAAATCAGATATATCTATCAATCTCTTTCACCAAAAGTTGGTAACAAATTCACCGAGATTGTACTAAATCAAATCCAAATTATTACAATTTTCTCAAGAATTTCCCCAAGTCCCTGGGAGTATTTATCAAATATTTATATGCTGAAGAAATTGTTTTCGTTTGTTGTGTTAAACAATATATGTCTGATATCAAAGAGTGAGAGAGAGAGAGAGAGAGAGGAGGGTTTAACCTCCACAAACCAGTTCATTTCGGGAATAACATATGGTTCAATTTCATTTCAATAACAACTCTTCAAGATCCTTGTGTAGTAGAGACAAATAAAACAGAATTTTGAACTATAAAAACGAAACGAAATAGGATCTGTCTTTTAATCAGATTGGTATTAGAAAAGAAAAATTCATCCCAAATTTTCTAGGGGGAGCTTGACACCGAAGTCCCCCCAGCAGCTTGAACCACTCAGTTCATGGTCTTTGGTCATTCAAACCTGAGCAACCAGTGGCTTAACATTAGCAATAACATGCTTAAGGGGAAGCAACTCTATATTCGTATGCCATAAAACATGAGGAATAAGTATTCATAACACAAAATGACACTGTGAATTTAACATAATAATGGTGACACACATGTACACATGTATATTTTGTATGTACTATCAAGCCTGGAAATAAGGCACAAAACCTCTGGTGTCTGTCATTTTGTCCGGCACTGATTTGTCTTTTTTATTGATATTATTAATACATGTCCGGCACTAAGTTGAAAACGTCAGATACTATTTCATCAGTGCCTGACATTTAGTCAGGTACATTTAAAACAGTTATTTCCAAACATGTGTATTATACTACTAATGCATAGGAGTGAAATGAAAAATATTATTTAATTATTGTGTAAAAATACAAATAGCTAATATTACATTCCAAACAAGGAGGCAAATATTTTGAATATTTGGTTACGTTTCAAGCAATAATACAACAGGAAATATAGCTCTCTCCCTTTTTGAATTGAGAAAGCTTCATGCTAAAAGACGTACAATAATCTATTACAAAAAGCTGTTTTAATTTGAATTATGTCAAATGTATTAAATTATATCTAGGATTTGGAATGAATTGCATTGATAATTTTTTCTCAATATTTTTATGAAAACACATATTACTCTTTCATTGATATTTTAAAAAACTCAGCAATTCTGGCTTGTCAATTAACATTAAAATGTAAAAATAAACAATGGAGGTGAATTTTAGAGATCTCCATCAAATAACACTAAATGTTTTATTTAATCTTGATTATGATTGGAATATATTTGCTATCTCTTGAAACACAGATAAACAAAACAAAATGGTTTCTGGTTGTTCTCCATCTTCAATAGAAGGCTTGATCTCGCTTTAACTATGTACATCTTATCAAGGCCTTCACGTAATACCCTGCATATTTCGGCACTAATTACGATTGGGTACAAGCCCAGCTGGTGAGCCTAACAAAGTCCTTGATCGTCGCGAATACCAAGTCTCGAGCTTTTAAGCTAAAATGTCTACATGTGATAATCGAGTTGCAAAGTTCAATGTCAAGGTTTACGTGGAGTCGCTATGTCACAACCTCTGATTGGACACTACCGTTCACGTGTCTGTAGATAATGTAGCTATAAGTTTGTGAATTGTGAAGTAATCTGGCAACGGCCAGATGTTGTAAAACTCGCAGTCGTTGCAGCTTCAGGAACATGGCTGTTCTCAAGACTTTGGTGATCAGTAAAATCTTAAATCTAGTGCACATTGGTCGCGACCATGGTATCTCAAAAACTAAAACTACACAATCTTTGGATGAAAGATAAATCTGTGTGTACAGATTCTAAAACATTTGTTCTCCAAAAGCAAAATATTTATAAAATGAGATCAAACACTGACAAGTGGAAACCACGTCAGAAAATCCCAATGAACTTTCTCGGTCAATGCAAAGATCGAACACGCGAACTCCAGGCTAGCGAGCCAGCGTTTTACCCACTTAGCCATTCTGGCTCCCTAAAAAAATATAAGCAGCTAGCAAGTTGGTGTGACATATAAAGCAGTGCATATCGAGATGGATGGAGCTATTTTCATTATTAACTGATAGGTAATTAAACAGGCAGCAGTGATTAGCACAAAAGTTCTTCATACAAGAAAATAAGAGGCACATGGTTTTTATTTTGTTAAACAGACAAGAGGTCGCAACCAAAATAAAATGAAAAACAAGACAGAAGGACTGGTAAAAATGTTTCCCCTATTCAAATTTATGAAAAATTAAGTCTACAAATTATCAAAAGTATTTGTACTTTAATTTAAGAAGATTAGGTTAAATGATCTCTGTAGGCATGTACAGAGAGAGAGAGAGAGAGAGAGCGAGCGAGGGTGTTCACATCCACTCAACATAAACTAGGTCATTTTGGGACTAACACATATGGATCAAATTTATTTCAATAATTCGCTCGCGCGTAGGAGTCTTTAGCAGTGGGAGGAAACCGGAGGACCCAGAGAAAACCCACAATGCTGGAAAGGTGACCCTACTCCTTGTCACGTACAACCAGAGGAATGAGTGGTGCATTAACAATACTTGATAACCGAGGATCGAGGTAACTTTGTTTTGAGTGTACATTTTAAATATTTTGGTTCTAAAACAAGTTATATTTACTTCTGTCTTGTTATTCATTTAAAGATGCATTATGTAAGAAGAGATAAATCTGCCTATTGTAGCAGGTCTTTATTTTGGCTTCAAATATTATATAAATTAGTTTCAATTAACAAGTATCATTGTTGCGATAGTAAACAATCTATATTCTACATCTGGTCAAAACTTCAAACAGTGATAAAGTAATTTGAATGAAATTATCAATATATTCATTTTGCATTATCTATTTTTGAACAATTATAGCAAGAACCGCCATCTCTTTGACTAAATCTTACATAACTCATCTTTAATCTTGACCATTTCACAGAAACAAAGGTTAGTTACAAACCTGATAGGAAGATAAGAATGTGGGACCGACATCTGTTACATCCTGGTTAATGGATTCCATATTTCTAATATCACTGTAAGCATCAAGCTGTAAACATCCCATAAACCCATGCAGTTAATAAACAGTGAATACAATGGAAGAGTTTAGGTTCAAAATGAAATGTAAATATTCCTTGTCACATTAAAGATGGGTTCCCAGAAAAGTATTTATCGGTTCCAATAAAAGTATGGTAATTTTTGTATATATGGAAAGTAGAGATATCCAATCTTACTAGAAAAATACTGGATTCCCAAAAAAACACTCATGGAACGTATACAGGACAAAAATGTAAGGGTTCCCCTAATCAACAGCCCGAGGATTACGAATTTCTGCACGCGTGATGTCAAAGGTCACACGCGAACATTGGGCGCTTGATGTACAAGTTGATAAACTTTATGAAGAGTTAGACGTACAACACTTTCTGAGATAAAAATGACGGAAAAAGACGCAGGTAGTGGATAATCTGAGAATTTAATTAGGATTCGATATTTGTAATAAATAGTAAGTGATTAAAGACAACATCGTTTTATGTATGCAATGAATTCTCCTCTGAATTCTAAGAGAGGTAAGTCACGTGACGTAAACATGACCTGGTTTGATCGAATTTTTATAGCAGGACATTCCTTCACAATTACAATGTTTGAGAAGGATTTGAAGCAAAATTATGACAAATTAATTAGTTTGAATATGTTTTTAGTCCATATATACCATTAAATCACCCAATTTGTACGCGGGAACCCATCTTTAAAGCCTCAATGTGTCAGATTAATCATTTTCTACAATCTGGTTAAAACACAGACCCTATTTCATGTTGTTTTTATAGTTAAAAATTTCGTTTTATTTGCCTTTACTACATTAGGATCTGGAAGAGTTGTTATCATTGACGTGTTCTGAATGATGTGAGCTACTAGCAAATGAAACGGTCTGTTACGGCAAGCTTTAGGCATGTTTTGCACGGAACTGTTGGTAATCAACTAGTAACATCAATGCTGATTGGTTAATCAAATGTCTGGCATCATAGGGTCAAAAGCCGCTCGTATGACCTCTGACACGACCTATCACTATAACCAGTCAGATCTTCATGTAGTGTAGGCCATCGAAAGTATAAAAAACGAAACGAAATATAGATCTGTATTTTAATCAATTTGCATTTTCCATATCTAAATTTAACAAAATTAAGGAACTCGAAAGTGTTCTTTAGACAGTAATCAAAACCATTAAAACAAAACACGAAGATTATAATTTAGCTGCCATCGTGAGCTTGGTGTTCACTTACAGAAATCAAATGTAACAATTAGTAGAAAATAATGGGAATATTTGATGGCCATAACTTTTGTTTGGATTTATCAATTTCAATAATTTTTAGACCAATGATTAGTAGTTTGCATGGTCTGAAAGTGATGTACTATTATATTGGCTTCTTAGTCAAGAGATTTTGCACTTTTTAACTGATAGATACATGTATTACTGAACATTTTATTTATATTCTGGTCTGAAAAAAATATTTTCAGTTATACCTGGCCCCGAGTTCACAATTTACACAACTTTCAACCACTATCTATGAGAAATATCTTTCATCCAGAAACACAAAACTTTGTACATAGTTTCTTATTGATGTATTTGATACATTAAAACAACAAAAGTTTTATACAGGCCTATATTTTAGTTAAAGATACATTATGGGAGATTAGATAAAGAGCTAGCAGTTCTCATTATAATATAATATTCAGTCAAATTGATCCACTCTGAACCAAGAATTTAGCGATTGAATTTTCGGCCTGGCCTCGATCATCATTACTAAAGTCGGTACGATAAAAAACATAGTCTCGATTATCAATTTCATGATTTAATCGTGAATGAAAATTGAGCGGCAAATTAGATCCTAATCCAGTAAATATCGCAGGCTAGCAATGACATCCAGAGTTGATTATGTTCTGGATAAGTTAATTAATGTCTAATTAATAATTTAGATAACATTTCAGGCCCAAAGGAAGACCTGCAATAGGCAGATTTATCTCTTGCTTAATGTGTGTTTAAAACAAGGCTAACAATGAGTAAATTCTTAACATTAAGTCTGAGAATGCTTTGTGAAATCAGGGCCTGGCTATGCCTATGTGTAACCCCACCTCTCTTTTCAAATCCAGAAACTTTCCAAAAAATAATTGGCATGCAAAGGGTTAAACTAAAATTTCTAATTAGTGTAATATGCTTTTTTTGATCTACCTATACAACAATATCAGTTGTTCAAATCTTAAAACTTTGTTACAGGTACCTACAGAGAAGTTATTTTATTAAATCTAAAATCATTTTGAAAATAAACTCTCCATTTAAGTTCCAATTCCATGCAGGATATATTAAAGCACCCTGTGTTAAAGGGTTTGCAAAATGTCAGACATGCACTAGGCACACAAACATTTCAATATCAAAGTTTTCTATTCATTGCAAGCATACAGTAAGTTTTATTTAATGTTATGTATGACATGCATAATTTTTATATACGAACCGTAAATTTAACTCTATATGGCTGAAAGTGAAAAATAAGTAGACCTACATGTCGTATTAGTTAACTTTTGTTTAAACATTGTTTTAAATCACATTTTAGCAACCAACAGCCCCTTCAAGTTTTTATTTATACCTATTCAGTTGCTATGTTCATAAAGAATTGCATCCATGAAAACATACCTCTTCTTCAATATTCAACTTACACTGTAACCCAGGTATCATTTAATCTTGTGTATCTAGCACTAATTTCTTTCACATATGTTTAATATCAAATTTTTGTTTAAAAATTCGTAAAATCATTTAAAATCACCCAAAATAATGTAATTTGTACATGTGTCCAGTTTAAAGCTGACTGATTAATTTTAATAATGAGTGTCTAATTTCATTTAATGAATGTAATTTCCTGACCACTTTTAAAAAATTTAATCAATACAATCAGTTGGGTTGTTTATTTTTTAAACAGTGGTCAAGAAATTAAACGCTTGTAAATTGGACACTCATTATCAAAATTTAATGGTCAGCTTTAAACTAGACACAAGTACAAATTAGATGATTTGGGGTTATTTTAAAAAAATTTTAACAAATTTTTATACAAAGATTTGATATTAAAACGAATCTGAAAGAAATTAGTGCTAGATACACAAGATTAAATGATACAGTGTTATATGCATGTTAATTTTAGTTTTCTGTGAATAACGCCACTGATCAGAGAGAATAATTTCATTAGAACTAACTTACTCTCTTTGGTGATTTGGATCGAGTTGTTTTGATACGAGGTGGTATATCAGAAACTGTTGGTGGTGAAACATCTCTTGACTTCTTTTTAGACCCTTCATGAAAATCAGCCTGATCAAAATTAGTTTTCCATGCAAATACCTAGAAAGAGAAATAATATATATAAAGTATGGAAGCAGTTGGAAGCGATAGTGCTTCGATATTATACTGAATAAGCAAATGTGCAAACTAAACTGTCCTTCAAAGATTCCAGAAAAAATGGAATCACAATATGTGAATAAATTATAATATTAAAATGTAATCCGTGTTTGTCTCTTTTGAGAGGTGGGGAAGTGAAAGCTAACTAACCATTCACTTTGGGTCCTTCTGAACATGAATATGAGTCTAAAACACTAGTCACCAAAAAAAATTTTTTTTTATCTTGTGATGGACAAGGAATTTTATCAAGAGATACTGCTATAAGTCTTCACTTATCATATTAGATTTTCCCTGACACAAAGCGCAAAGATGCTTATTAGACGCTTTATTTATATATGAATGAAATGAAATGAAATGGGGTTTAATGTCCTACTGTTCTGCTCCTATACTGGGCTAATGAAAACGGGCATACGCCATACAGTGTTCTATGAGGGAAATTTAGTCGGGACAGCAGCACTACGGCCTACTCTTATATCAAATTCCAACTGTCAAGGGATCTCTTACATGCATGCCAATGTGTACACTGGACCTCGTTTTTTTTTTGTCCCATACGAATAACTATAAAGCTGTCCATGTCAGGCCCTCCGTCCTGCATCACTGACAACGGGAAACCATGCCGGAAAATCTGGATGAACTTTCTCGGCCAATGCAGGGATTGAAACCCAACCTCCAGGCTAGTGAGCCAGCATCTTACCCACTTAGCCACAGTGACCCTCTATTTATATATGAAATGGTGGATGTAGTCTAGTTATTCTTAATAGCTTACCTGTTGATCTGATCCTCCTGATCCAAAATATTCACCATTTTTAGAGAAAGCAACTGCTGTTACAGGTCCCTGTTAAAAACATAACAATATTTCATTAATTCATGTATATAGTTGGATTATTCTCAGGAAACAATTCACAACAAATTAAATTAGAATATTGTATGTAAAGAACCATAATAAATACAACATACAAGTCTGGAAAATAAGGCACCTGTCACAGACAATGTCAGGAACAGATTCAGGTTTTGTCAGGCACAAAACCTCTGGTGGCTGTCATTTTGTCCAGAACTGATTTGTCCGTTTTATTCATATTATCAATATATGTCTGGCACGAAGTTGAAAATGTCAGGTACTATTTCATTACTGCCTGACATTTTGTCAGGTACATCTAAAACCGTTATTTCCAGGCCTGACAACATAATAATTTTACAAGAGACACAACACAGCAGGCCTGCTACGTGTCATATTCCTAGAGCAATGGCCCAAGAAACCTCTCTCTCGTCCAATCAAATCTCTCCCGATTGTCATTAGATACTTTTACATTAACATATTCAGAGCTCTGGATAATCCTGAATGATTTTGTTACGCTGTAATGTATTGGTTGTTGACCTGTCATAATTTTGGACAGAAATTGGCATCAATCCAGCATTGTTTGAGTGTGATTAGGTTTAATCAAACCAAGATCTCCAAGGAGTATGACTACTTATGTGCGATATCACATATTTACTGTGAAGGCAGATCTTATACACAAATGAGTAAGCGAGAGGGCCTATCGACTTTGTGTACTATTGTAATGATTATACTATTTGCCTTCAATGTCATCCTCAATTCCATTTTGTCATGTTATTTCGTTATTATATCCAGTTGTATTTTCTCCGCTTCCATTGTTTACTATTTGTTATTATTATGGGCTATGCACAGTTATCGTGCGCAATAGTCATGTCGATAGTCAAATTTTCACGCTCACGTAAATCACACTTCGCCATTAAATAACCAATAAACTATGTATTGTCTTGGATCGTCCTGAATGTGATTTACTCCCGAATACCTTATTTGTAAACTACGACATAATAGGCTGTTGTCGAGCTTGCATAACTTTGTAATTCATATTTTTCCTTTCGCTTGTCAAAAGGTATGGGGTCAGGGGGTCAAATCGCTACACTATCATCAATCAAAAATATACAAATGCAGCATGTGACTGAAGCTTACGATTTGCACCCATCATAGCTCTGGTTACAGCCCTTGAAATACAAGGGGATCAACTCTCCATCAACCGAACTCTTACATTCATGGGCAGATATTTTTGGCCGATTAGCTGGCAAGTATAGTATGCTAACCAATGAAAACTACAATACAAATAAGCATGGTAAATGTTGTACGACACTGTGAAGATAGTATTAAACATACCTGATGACCATGTAAGGTATAAAAGATTCTACCCTCGGCTAAATCATATATTTTTAATGTAGCATCATCTGATCCTGATAGTAAATAATTACCGCTAGCATGAAATGATAAACTGTTAACTGATGCTGAATGAGCTGAAAATGTAACATTATATATAGTTGATTATCTATAGGTTGAATGCTCTCAGTTCATTTGGCCAAGGATGTCGTTTTGGGGGGCTGTTGATTTTAATGAAGATTAAAGCCATGTGCTGGTGATTCTTCAGTCATTTTAGAACTAGCGAAAATGAAGAAGAGGAAGAAGAATATTGCCTGAGCAGCTATATTTCCACCTATTCTTCAATTAATTCAAGCCAAAGTTTTTACATGCACTAAAGAATCACTAGACACAGTTTCAATATTGTCATCTTCACTGGCATAATCTATTACAAATTGACTACAGAGAGAGAGAGAAATGGAGTATAACGTCCACTCGACACAAACTAGGTCATTTCGGGACCAAGATATGGCCCAATTTTATTTCAATATTTCGCTTGCGCATAAGGGTCTTTAGCAGTGGGAGAAAACCAGAGGACCCAGAGAAAACCCACAAGGTTGGACAGGCGCCCCTTCTCCTTGTCACGTACAACCGGGGAATCGAAACCACGCCAGTTGACTCAATGACAGACCGAATGATACACCACGCAGGTGCTAACCATTCGGCCGTCCAACCCCGCAAATTGACTACAAATTCTTGGTCCACATATATGCTTAACTAGCGGATAACCCAATGCTGTCCAGGTTGTGCCCATAACAATAAAACAGGAAGCAGTAGCCCAACACCACCCAGCCTATGTTACTCCACGATCCAAGCTTCCCCTATACACCAAATTTCAGCCTGGGAACAGCAATAGTTTAGCTGCCAAACCTGAACAGACAGACAGACAAACGATAGTCACAAACATTAGTATAGATTGTGCACTATACAGTATAAACGATGGTAGAGTTTTTACTTACCAACATAATTTTGTAATAATTTATTCATTCTAATATCAAAAACTTTAACACTGCCATCAGTACAAGCAGTAGCTATACATGTACCACTAGGATGAAACTGACAATTATTTATAAATCTAAAATTACAAATATACATATCATATACTTTATAATATAACAAACATGAAACATATATATTACACATACTTAGTCTGAAATAAAATGAAATGGGGTTTCAAGTCCTACAACATACTCTATAACATTAGAGAGAGAGAGAGAGAGAGAGGTGGGGTTTTACGTCCACTCAACACAAAGCAGGTCATTTCAGGACTAACATATGGTTCAATTTTATTTCAATAATTCGCTCACGCATAGAGATCTATAGCAGTGGGAGGAAACTGGAGGACCTGGAGAAAACCCTACTCCTTGTCATGTACAAGTTCGGAATCGAAACCACTGAATGACAGACCATCTGATCCAACGTGCATGCGTTAACCATTTGGCCACCCAGCCCTCCAAAACTCATATAAAAGAAGAAATTAAATGCAACTGACTATATTCATAAAAAAGCCGCTGATTGTTATTTGAGTAATTTTGAATTCCTTGCAGAACACAATATTGTGAAAGTACCACAATATTGTGAAAGTTAAATCTCTAATAGGAATATATTGCGTTCAGTACTTAAAAAAGGTCAGAATTTCCAATTTCACAATGTTTTGATTAAAATTTCAAAACTTAAAAATCTGAACTAAAAGCTTTTGAGATGAGCAACAAAGTAGTTTTTTGTTTATAAATTATCTCTGTTACCTGAAGAAATAAGAAGAAATTTTTTAATATGACTGTTCGTGAAATTGGTGTTGATTATCAGACACGATACTAGTTTAGTCAAGAAAACACAATCGGCAAAATGAAATGAAATGGGGTTTAACGTCCTACTGTTCTGCTCAGAACTAAGCTAATGAAGACGGGCAAGTCGGGCATACGCCATACCGTGTGCTATGAGGGAAATTTTGCACAGACAGCGGCACTACGGCCTACTCTTATATCGAATTCCAACTGTCAAGGGATCGGTTTTTCGTTCCATCCGAATGACTAGACAGCTGTCCTTGTCAGGCCCTCCGTCCTGTATCACTGACAAGAGGGAACCATGCCAGACACAATCAGCAATATTCATGTTGCGTCAAAATGGAGAAAATACAAAATAGATGAAGAATAAGTTTATCTGAAGTAGCACAAAGTCATACAGACAAGTATCGTTGAGGTTGTGTAAGAGTAAACTGTAAAGGTGGAAGAAATAGGAACATTTGCGGAAACAAAAGCAGTTTTGAATATTGAGATAACCTACAAAGGTCTAGAAAATACAATATACAGTGGACTCTGTCAAATCCAACATCGTACAGGATTGTTACAATATGTCGGATTACGCAAAGTGTCAGAATACACAGTTTTCTCAAAACCGGAAGTATTATTGTAACTTAAAAAACTGGAAGTATTATTATAATGTTCCGTGTGACAGGACGGCTGATTGATGTCGTAATTCGGAATATTCAGAATACGGATTATTCAAAGCTTTTTTGGGGGGAAGTAATAAGGAAATAAATCGGGACATGAAAATGATGTCGGATTTCACAGAATGTCATAGTATTCAGATGTTGGATGTGACAAGAGTCCACTGTACATATATATCAACTTACCCTCCTGTCTCATAAAACGTATGAACACAATCTTTACTTTGTCTGTCCCATAATCGTACCGTTTTATCGTCACTACCAGATACGACCAAACGATTATCTGGAGAAAATCTGAAAATATACATAAATCAAATTGTATAAAAATTCCAAGCTTGATTCCTTAGAAGGACAAAATCCAAATCGGTTAAATTTCTCAACCAAATATCTAACCCTTTTATCATCTATTTTATTAATCTTGAATGTAAATTAACAGGTCATAAGTGTCTTTTATTTATGCGTTAAGAAGTAAGGGACTTCAAAATCCGAATCCAATTTCAAATATCAGATGAGAGAGAGATAGAAATGGGGTTTAACGTCCACACGACACAAACTAGGTCATTTCGGGACTAACATATGGTTCAATTTTATTTCCATAATTTGCTTGCGCATAGGGGTCTTTAGCAGTGGGAGGAAACCGGAGAAAACCCACAATGTTGGACAGGCGACCCTACTCCTTGTCACGTACAACCAAGGAATCAAAACCACGTCAGTTGACTAAATGACAGACTCTATGATACAGCGCGCATGTGCTAACCATTCAGCCATCCACCCCTGCCCCTCCACCCCCAAATATCAGGATTCTGATATCAATAACTAAAACCTGAACAATTAAAACTAATGGCTGATTCTAATTATTTTATGTACTTACTTTGCACATCGGACCCAATTCATGTGTTTAGTGAGAGAGAAAAGAAATTTTTGTCTGTGAACCGTCCATAACTGAAATGAAACGAGAACCAAATCAAAGTCTCACTTATAAATGTATCACACCGCTCCATTCAGGGACCAGCTCTTGGCCTTTGCAGGAAGTCGAGTCGATTAGTAGATAGATCTGTGTTAAAATTTAAAACCGTTATAAACCATAACTTTGGCAATATAAAGTTAATATAATCAAACAGTTAATCATGCATGATGCAAGAGCTAAATCTGCCTATTGTAGGTCTTTTCTTTGGGCCTTAAATGTTATCTAAATTATTAATTAGACATTAATTAACTTATCAAGACCATAATCAACTCTCGATGCCATTGTTAGCCTGCGATATTTAGTGGATCTGAATACCTTTCATGATGGATGATATAACCGTAAAATTGGATAATCGAGACTTTGTTTATTATCGAACCAATTGTAGTAATGACGATCAAGGCTACCCTAAAATTGAATCGCTAATATCTTGGTTCAGAGTGAATAAATTGACTGAAATTTTCAGCATATTCTCTTTTCATTATCTATTTATTAACTATTATAGTGAGAATTGTCAGCTCTTTATCTAATCTTCCATAATACCCCTTTAAAAAGCACATTTATAATATACATAACATATGTTAATAAGTCTATATATATATATGCTTGTATTTATTAACTATTATAGTGAGAACTGTCAGCTCTTTATCTAATCTTCCATAATACCCCTTTAATAAACTTTCTGTGATAAATTCATCTAGTATTAACTACATGCTACTCAATATTATTAGAGATATTTCCATTATTTAAAATAGCAGATTCTTGTCATGGCTTATATTATCACCAGTGGTTAAGACTATATAAAACTCCCAGTCAACCAGTCCTATTTTTAGGTAACCAAGTGAATGTTTTGTATAGCATGAACTATTGAATTTGTTGTTACCTTTATTGTTTTATCATCTGATGCTGTTAATAATGTTTGTCCATCTGAAGAGAAATCTACACTTCTAACTGTAGCTGTATGAGCTTTGAAAACGGTTGACTCACCTTTCCTAATTTAAAAAAAAACAAAAAAAGAAACAGAAAATGAATAATGAAAGTAAAATAAAGGTATACTAAGAGAGTGGGGACCTTCCACAACTAAATCTTACGGTTATGCCATCGGATGCAAAAGTTCTTAAAGAGTCAATCCATTTGGAGTCAAATACTCTCCAAGTGGCATGACTACTTGTGTATCCTCCAATATTAAAATATATTGCAACCTGTTTCGGGCTGTTATGTTTAATATCTGCAAATTACTCCTTATATGCTCAGAACTAGATGTACCTGTAACAATCATGCAAAAATTCATAGTGATATCTTGAAAGGCTTATGAGAGATGTCAAGAGTTGCAATTGATCATTCTGATTTGAAAAGTCCTCATAAGGCTGTCCTAATAAACGATAACGATAACTTACACACTTGGTATCCATAATCGAACTGTTTTATCTCGTGATGCTGAGGCTACTAAATGACCAGATGGTGAAAAACATGTTGAAAGTACCGCATCCTGAAATTACAGAAACAATATTGGTAATCAAAAACAATAATCCTTTTCAGCCAAATTATATCAACCATAAACTCAGTCAAAAAATGGAGTCAAATTGTTTCCGATGTGCAAAATGACTGATGGGTCAGATCTAGTTTCAGTCATTTTCCATAGCCCTCGGTCTTGACCAGCAGACATGGAACCCATGAGTCAAACATATCAAATTGTTCAGTAAGTAACCTCTTTGGACAGAGAGAGAGAGAAATGGGGTTTAACGTCCACTTGACACAAACTAGGTCATTTTTCGGGACTAACATATGGTTTAATTTTATTTCAATAATTTGCTTGCGCGTAGGGGTCTTTAGCAGTGGGAGGAAACCGGAGGACCCAGGGAAAACCCACGAGGTTGGACAGGCGACCCTACTCCTTGTCACGTACAACCGGGGATTTGAAACCGCGCCAGTTGACTCAATGACAGGCCTTAATGATACAGCACGCACGTGCTAACCATTCGGCCATCCAACCCCCCCTCTTTGGACAGACAAGCTGTGTGAAAATCTTACACTAAGACCAATTATATAAAACATTTACATGTATGTGACCATTTAAAGAAATATAAATTCCATGCCCAAGCTTTATAAAGTGCCCCAGAGCAGTCATTGATCATACTCCCCGCAGTGTTTCGTTTGATTAGAGCTAATCCCACTAAACACTGCTTTAATGGAAGCAAATTTCTGTTCCAAATTAGACTGGTCAATAGTCCGATTAACAAACAATAGCAAACTACGTAACAATATGATTACACTTTAAACATAGCTCCGATTGGACCAAATATGTTTACATAACGTTACGTCATGACTCACAATTTTATTATATACCCAATTGGCCTGTACATAGCAGAATATTGCAGAAAAACTAATTACGTGACACACAAGGCTATCAAGACGGATACAATGTAAACAATATTGTATGAAGACCAACAAGGCTTTCACAGTTTTTAATACCTTAAATCACTGTCCAAAGTTCTAAGGAAGACCCTAGATTAAACGAAGGGCTGTCATGTTGCTGTACTTGGGATAGATTTGATTGAACGGAAAGAATACACACACTCCCTCAAAAGTTCAAGTATCAGAAGCCAATCCAGCAATGGGCAGAGATGGATTTTTTGGGCCATTGCTTCAGGAATATGTCACTGATTGGATTTTGTTACACTGTATAAATCAATAAATTATCATTATCAAATCTGTTTGTATTAACTGTACTGAAGGTGTAATGGTATAGAGACAAATTAATGATTATGATACAGGGCACCATACAGGGGAATATAATCCTCACCAATACACACAGTATTTACTGTTGAACTGTTTACATGTACCACATGAATGCCAGCAGCTTTCGGAAGGATATTTATTAAGGCATAATAATATATTTCATGAACGCCAGTTGCTTTCTCAAGGATATCTAATAGTAAGTGCAGGGGAACTGCACTACAGATAATTTACACAAAACAAATCTACGGACAAGACACAAACTAAGTGAATGGATCCGGGGGGCTAGTCGTAAGCATCCTCTTGCCACTGTACAGTCCGGGGCCTGTAGTGATACAGACTTCACTCATAATTGAAAATATGACCCAGAGAAAACCATTGTGTTATACAATATAGAATTATATATTTCATACCTTATGACCAACAAATCTATATGCTCTCATTTTGGGTTTAAAATTCCACACCATTAAACAGGAATCCATGGACCCAGATGCTGAAATAATTAAATGTCATTTCATATCATAATAAAACTATGCACAAAATATCCATAGATACTAGCATTATTATTTTCATACGGCCAATAACGTAGATTTCACTCATTTAAACTACTCCATACACATAAACCGTAATCACCATCTTTCTTCCTGTTTTCTTTTTCTTAACAAACACTCAAGTATTATCCAAGAAAATGCTTTTTCTTGACTTAATGAAAATTTAAAGATAAAACATAATTTTTAAATATACCTAATTGTGTCATGTTTGGACTAAAGTCCATTCCTGTGACTGTATCTCTATGGCCATTGAAATGCCGCTCCAAGGATGGATCTTCCTATAATTATAAGAAACATAAGCTTTTAGAGTTACTGTACTAATCTACAGAAACATTTCTGTCCTGTAGTAATGGTACCGCAAGCCTTCAAGGAGTTAAAAAAAATATCATTGATGATGCTGTATCCAAACATGATTTTAGCTGTTGGAAAAAAAAGCTAAAAAAAATCATTGGGGTGGGTGGGGGGTGGGGCAGTGCCAGTGTGTTATGGGGGTCAAAGGCGATTTTAAAGTAGGGGGGGAGGGGTCTGAAAATGAATTTCAAAGTTCTTTTTATTTGTGTATTAATTTACTACAAATTTTGGCTTAAATTATATTTAATTTATATCTCTACCAGAATACTTTATAACAAAAAAAGTAATGTTTGAACTATACGGATCCAATCTTTTGATTGTTCTTGTATAATTTTATAAACTAGAGATGTGTTGCTCTAAACTTCTCCATCCCCCTCCCTCCGTGATTAATATTAATAATTCACGACTCTTCGTACATTGACTTTACGAATAGAACGTCTCACAAGTTGGCCTTCCACCTTCCGTTCCAACCATTTCTACTTCCATACATTTTAAAGTCCTTTGTCTAATAGTTTGGTGTCGACGTCTCAATCTACGATCTTAGCCATAACGCGAAAAACTGAAGGCGATTAAGTACACTCATAGATATGGTACCATAGAGCATGGGCGCAGATCCCGGTGGGGACACCGGGACGCATCCCCACCAATATATTTAGTGGTGGGGACATGATGTACTGTGTCCCCACCACTTATTTCCGATGTTTTGCTTACTGTTTATTTTTTGAAATTGAAATCATTCCAGAGCTTTTACTGACATTTCAGAAAGTGTAGAGTTGGTCCCAGGCACTTGAGACCTGGGTCCTTGAAGTTGTACAGCTGCGTCTGATGACCGATTAAAAAATTGCTCTCTGAACTATACTGAGCGCCCTCTGTTCTGCACCACTGACAAGGGGAAACCACGTTGGAAAATCTGGATGAACTTTCTCGACCAATGCAGGGATCGAAAACCCGACCTCCAGCTCCAGGCTAGCGAGCCAGCCTCTTAACCACCTAGCCACCGTGGCTCCCGAATCGTTAGCACGTGCACGCTAAATCATAAGGTCTGTCATTGAGTCAACTGGCGTGGTTTCGATTGCCCGGTTGTACTAGAAATGGTTCCACTACTGATGTCTTCCGCCTTACTCCAGCCACAGTTATAATAAACCAATTCCCATTGAAATAAAGGTGAAGTCTTACTGCATAATTATATGATTTGATGAAACCCAACTGTTACGCGAAATTTGGCGAGATTTCATCTGGCTGGTGACATGCCAGCTTAAACGAAATGTCGCTTTGAAAATGTAGAATGCATAATTACCACAAAAAAAAAAACTGTTCAATAACTATTTTAGTGGTTCAATCTTCACTATGTGTGATAGAATTACTTATTTCAATACAAACTGTAATGATATGTTTTGACACTAATTGTGCGTAAGGAGTGTTAGAGTAGACTGTATCAATTATAGCGTTAAACACAGTTTAACGGTATGACATTTGTAGCTACGGTTGTACATGAAAAGGAGTTGGGTCACCTGTCGAACCTCGTGGGTTTTCTCCGGGTCCTCCAGTTTCCTCACACTGCTAAAGACCCCTACCGTCTACGCGCAAGCGAATTTTAGAAATGAAAATGAACCGTGTGTTACTGTGAGTGTTGGTCTCAAAATGAACTAGTTTGTGTGGAGTGGACTTAAACCTCAACTGTCTCTCTCTCTCTCTATCTCTCTCTCCTTCTCGCTAAAATATCAATTGACAAGACCATCATTGACCAATAAAATAATAATTATAGGCCTAATGATGATATGATTCATTTATCATTTTATGATGATGAATGAATGAAGACTTAATAAAAAAATAAAGTTTTGACCATATTTTGAAGTATTTAACCACACTTTCGTGGGTTATTGTGCACATAAATACATTACCAATGCTGCTGCCATTGTCTTAGAAGCTTGTTAATATTTAAAACATAAAATATAATCTTAAATGCATTAAAACAATTCAAGTTTGGTCTTGTATTGACACTTTCAAATTATTGCGGTATTTTCAACGAACTGCGCATTACGGAAGTACATTATTATTGAGGACGCGTGTCAAAATCATATTTTATTGATAAGCATAAACTTGTGATACAGATAAGGATATGGGAAATATATATCTGTTTCAAAATTTTGAATTCTTGTAATACATTTTTTCAGTTTCTTATATTGGGGGATATCATTACTATAAATCATTTAAAAATAAAACAATGCTTTCTCCCAACAAAGGGAAGTAACTGCTGTTTTCTTGCGAACTGCATCGGAAACGGAATCGCCGGATGCGACTATTTTTAGAACAGTTTGTTTTGGACATCATTGACATTAAATGGTGAAAAGATATCAAAATGACGAGTTCTTTGGCTAGCGAACTCCACAAATTTTGTGGACATTCGCAACGCCTACAAGAGATCTTGGAAGAAACTAAGAAATGTTTTGGTGACATCAACAATTCAGGCCAATATAATGGCAGTAAGTAATTTTTTTTTTTGTTTCTGAACTGAATGAGTTTTGCACTAATCACGGCTATCATGCTATGACGTCTGAAACTGTCAGAAGTAATGTCAGGATATAGTCGTCTTATGTGACATGTTCAGATCTCAATAAATTATATGACTGTCCTTTGTTTTCAATTATAACTCTTTGCAGACTGAGTTGTGAATATCATTGACTGACAATCATTATATCAAATCAATGGCAAAATGGCAATGCTGATAATAAACTTATTATTGAGGGTGTGGTGTTATTTTAGCTACAATAATTTTATAGAATCATAATAATGAATAAGTGTCAAGAATTTTGGTACCATAAGAATGGCACATCATGAGGTCTATCTTACATCATCATTTCAATATTGATTTATATAGAATTAGAAACAATCTATTAAATATTTAACTCAAAATATAGAACTTTGACAGTATAGCAACTTTTTTCATTTTGCCCTTGCTCTATCGAAATACAATCCCTCTCTTAGCCCGGAAATAACACAATTCAATAATCTGTATTTTTTTGTCAATTTTCATGTTAGCTAATTAATTAGAGAATGACTTTGTACTGAGAATGGCATACATTGCATGTACCAGCCAGCATTTCTAATGAAATTAGCGTATATTTAAGATTGGGTCTTTTAAATCTTAGAACTGTTTAGTGTTTTATTAATCCTAGTGTAAATGTAAAGTACCGGTATGTTTTGAAAAATAAGATTATCATAATATAAGCAAATGATCATCATTTTCAATCATCTTTGCAACAAACAAATGGCACTGGCACAATGTGGGACCATGCACCATACATCTGTTCTAGTTGATTAAGCTTACATAATTGATTAAATATTGTGTACCGTAGTGTTTATATATTAGATTAATTATATCAGGAGAATTAACCTGTCAACACTCAACTGCAGACTTAAGATCAATGCTCAATATTGGAAATGTAGGCCCCTATTGTATATGGGGTTCAAAAGGTCAGATTATACCTTGACTACATGTAAATCTAGCTAAATTGACAAGATTTTTTTTTTCTTATCAATTTATTTAAACATGAGCCTAATATACTTGCTTTATAATTTATGGGGGGGGGGGTATTATAAAAGAATGAGGAAAAACATGATGATTCATTATTAATTTGATTTAGTTCTGTGTCACCCGCGTTCAGCAGATAAGAAAAATACAGAGCCTCTAATGAAATATTAGCTTGAAGAATAATTAATAAGATAAACGCCTTTTTATGTAGGTCACAGGGTCAGTCACTGACAGGTAAACAGCCTAGAGTATTAAAAATGTGAAAATGCGAGTTGAACTTTTAGCACTGATAGTGACACTGTATTGATAAAAACAATCCATGTTGCACAATTTATCATTATCAAGATGTAGATGGTAACATAATTCTGATTAGTTACTCAAGTTTTTATATGTAATGATATTAATATGGCACACGATTTAGAAAAATCTTGATTTATTATTGCATTAGTAATATTTTTATGAATTTCAATAACTATATTTAGGCATTTATGCATCTTGTACTTTGTATCAGTAAATGAACTGTATTATTTGCAATCAGACATATCTGAAAAAAAAATCTTTTTGCATGGAAAGTGATGGATAAAGTTCCAATTCTCTATTCCTTTATACACAACTAATTCATGGTCAAAAAAGTGTGTTCTATCGATTTTGTAATGCTACAAATTATGTGTAAATTATTATCTGTATCATAGTACATTCATGTACAGTGTAAAAATCTAAATTGAATAAAAGTTAACAGATACAGTAGGTACTGTATATGTTAAACCAGGATATATCTAAACATACCAACATATACGTACAAAAAATGGTAATAATTTTATAAGATGTACTTGATTGATTATTTCCTCTTTCACCATCCTGTAGTATTTGATGAATGTACTGATTGTGGTTTTACAGTAATAAGATAAAAAAAAAAGCAACAATAATATTTTACATACATTATGCAAGAGCTAAATCTGTCTATTGCAGGTCTTCTTTATCTAAATTATGAATTAGACATTAATTAACCTATCCAGACCATAATCAACTTTCGGTTGCATTGCTAGCCTGCTATCTTTAGTGAATTATGAGCCGATTTACTGTATAACTTTCCTTCACGATTAAATGGATAATCGAGACTATGCTGTTTATCGTACTGACTTTAGTAATGATTATCGAGGCTAGGCGGAAATTTCAATTGCTTAATTCTCGGTTCATAGTGGATCAATTTGAATGAAATTTTCAGCAAATTGCCGTTACATTATGTAGTTTTTATCTATTATAGTGAGAACTGCCAACTCGTTATCAAATCTCCCATAATGTATCTTTAAATCCTGATAATATGCCAAGGGCAATGACAATGAAAGAACTGTTGTATAAGTTGGTTATCCAAAGCTATTAACAGAATTTCTACAAGAATCGTCTATTTCCATCAGTGTACTTCATTTATTAAAATAAAAGTGCAAGAAGACAGTACCACAAATATCAAATATCGATTTACTAGAAATGTTACACTAACGTATGCTAAACAAAACGTAATTTCTAATATCACATCCCCAAACTAATTAAAATTAGGCCATAATTTCACTTGTTTTCTGGGTTTTTTTGGGGGGTGGGGGGGGATTTACATTTAAACTACAGTAATGTTTAACAACATAAAACATTTGGCTTCAATTGAGCAATTGAACTTTCATGAAGCCAGTGAACAGACTCTTGAATAAAATGTTCTGTGGTTCTTTTAAAATAAAGAAAAGCCATACACATTTTGGCAAGCGCATGAAAGAACCTGTTAGAGCTGGAAACCCAGGAAGAATAGGCTGAAATGCTGCTACCTGGTCAAAATTCTCCTAATTTGCATTGTGCAAATGAACATAGAAATTAGAATTACCATAAGTTTCGAAATGGCTGAAGTTTGTATTAATAAAATGTCAGACACTAATGAACTAGTTCCTGACATTTTCTACTAATGCTGTACATGTATTAATAATATCAATAAAAACACAGAAAAAACACAAATTTGTGTCAGATAAAATGACAGGCACCAGAGTGATTGTGCCTGACAAAGTCTGAATTTGTGTCTGACTATGCTTGTGACAGGTGCCTTATTTCCAGGCTTGATTAAAGATACAATAGTAGAGTTTAATAAAGAGTTGGCCATTCTTGCTATAATAATTCAAAAATAGATGATAAATTGCCTGATGATAAAAAAAGAAAAAATTGAAACGTTCAGTCAAATTACTTTATTCTGAACGGAATTGTCACTGTTGGAAGTTTGGTCTAAAAATAGGTATCAACTGTGTTCGTACCGTCTACGAGAATTGCCGATCGTTTGATTGACAGACGATAACTCCACCCACATAATTTCGATTATCAAGTAACATTGTCAATGGCTATGGTACCCTCGCTTGGCAGGCCTTTCGTCATCAGTCACTATTGGAAGTTTGGACTAGAAATAGGTATCAACTGTGTTCGCACTGACTGAGAATTGCCGATCGTTTGATTGACAGACGTTAACTCCACCCACATAATCTCGATTATCAAGTAACATTGTCAATGGCTATGGTACCCTTGCTTGGCAGGCCTTTCGTCATCAGTCACTATTGGAAGTCTGGACTAGAAATAGGTATCAACTGTGTTCGCACTGACTATGAGAATTGCCGATCATTTGATTGACAGATGTTAACTCCACCCACATAATCTCGATTATCAAGTAACATTCTCAATGGCTATGGTAGCCCTGCTTGGCAGGCCTTTCGTCACCACTCTCGGGTAGTGACGTCAGTGACTAACGGTAAACATTAGCATGGTCTGCTATTTATTGATTTAATTTTAAATGAACGACTGTTTAAATCCAAACTGTATCCAAGCCATCCGTGGGTCTACAGAGTTAATTTTGAGCTTGTCGTGTAAACAAAGGCCTAATTAATAATTTCTATAACATCTGAAGCCTAAATAAAGGCTTGCATATGTTTAATGAGACAATAAACCGTTCAGCTATTACATCATATTATTGGCTTTATATTTTCAGCTCAAATTGTCATGGCCGAATTACTTAAAGAAGAAGAAACGGAAGTGTTGTCATTGATTGAAAAACCACAAACAATAGTTGTACTTGGTCAAACACCATACGCCAAATCTAGATTAATCAATGAACTGTTTTCAATGCAAATTCTTCCTCCATTGGATAACAATATTCAATATCGCATGGTGAAATTCAAACATGGAGAAACTCAGACTGTTAGTTTGGCATTACCAGACGACTATGATCTTGTGGATAATCTTGAGGCTTACAATGGCCCCTGGAAAACTATTCCACGTCAAGACCTAGAACTTTATGAATCGAGGAAGGATGACATCGCTAAAGACTCGGCCGTATTAGAGGTATCACTCAATCATCCTCTGCTGAGGTTTGGCACCACGTTGTTGATGTCGTCGTCGAAACATGAGACTGCAGAGGAATGTTTAAAGGGTTGTGTTCAGGACGTTACACCTGTTATAATTTATGGATTTGTAACAGAACAACTTGCTGATAAGGTTTGTATACTGTATGCTACTTTTAATACACTGCATTTTCCTGAAGCAATGGCCCGAGAAATCCCTCTCTGCCCATTGCTGGATTGTCTTCTGATACTTGAGATTTTGGGGGAGTGTGTGTTCTTCCCGTTCAATCAACTCTATCGCAAGTACAGTAACATGACAGGCCTTCGTTTAATCTGCTGGGGTCTTCCCTAAAACTTTGGACAGTGATTTAAGATATTAAAAACTATGAAAGTACAGATGTATTGTTCATCTCAAAACAGTATTGTTTACATTGTATTCGTTTTGATAGCCCCGTTTGTCACACAATTAGTTTTTCTGCAATATTCTGCTATGCACTAGTTAATTGGGCATAATAAAATCGTGAGTCATGACCTAACATTATGTAAACATATTTGGTCCAATTTGGAGCTCTGTTTAAAGCGTAATGATATTGTAATGCAGTTAGCTATTGCTTGTTAAACAGACTATTGACCAGTCATAATTTGGAACAGAAATTTGCTTCCTTTATAGCAGTGTTATGTGGGATTAGGTATAATCAAACAAAACACTGCGAGGAGTATGCCTATAAATTAGACTGATAGACTTCATTGTAACTTTGTTAGGTTTTATTGATACGATGTACATGTATTACTCGCGTTACAGTGAGCCCCTTATAGTACATGTACATGTATATTAGACAGATAGACTTCACTGTAACCTTGTTAGGATCTATTATGATCAACGCTATAGCGAGTCCCCTATGAATTAGACTTTGATAGACTTCTCTGTAACGTTAAGTTCTGTTATAACCCATGCTCATAAGCTTCACTGTAACTTTGTTAGGTTTTGTTATAACCCACACTACAGCCAGTTCCCAATAAATTAGACTTTGATAAACTTCATTGTACAACAAGTTCCATTATAACCTGCTCTACAACAAGTCCCCTATAAATTAGACTTTAATATACTTCACTGTAATAGGTTCTATTATAACCCATGCTCATACATGTACATGTAGGCTTCACTGTTATGTTAAGTTCTGTTATAACCCACATTACAGTGAGTCCCCTATAAATAGACTTCACTGTAATGTTGTTATGTTCTATAACCCACACTCATAGGCTATCACTGTAACATTGTTAAACATGCATTATGCAAGAGGTAAATCTGCTTATTGCAGGTCTTTCTTTAGGCCTGAAATTTGATCTAAATTATTAATTAGACATTAATTAACTTACATGTATCCAGACCATAATGAACTAGATGTCAACACTAGCCCACGATATTGACTGGATTAGAATCCTATATGCTGCTTAACGCTCATTGATAATTAAATCAAAAAATGGATAATCAAGACTATGCTTTTTATCGTACTGACTTTAATAATGATGATCCAGGCTAGGCGGAAATTTCAACCTCTTAATTCTCCGTTCATAGTGGATCAATTTTCAGCAAATTACTTTTACATGTACATTATCTAGTTTTTAACTATTATAGTGAGAACTGCCAACTCTTTATCTAATCTTTTATAATGTATCTTTAATAAGTTTTATTATAATATTTATAACCCGCGCTCATAGGCTATCACTGTACCATTGTTAAGTTCACTGTAAAACATTAAGTTCTATTATAACCTGCGCTACAGCAAGTTCCCTATGAAAATAACTGATAGGCTTCACTGTAATGCTGTTAGGTTCCTCTGATATAACCTACATGTAATAATAGTAAGTAAAAAAGAAAAATTATTAAAAAATAAGAAATACAACACCAAATCAACGATATTATTAACATGCTCTTTAACAGAGTTCTTCATGAAGAAAATGACAATGAAAATAAAAGTCAAGCAAAATGGTATAATCATGATCATTTTTCAAATGTTAAGAAATACAGAAGAAGGACAACCCAGTCCATAACGTCTAACAATAAATTTGTTTAACACTACTTAGGAGTTCGTCTATCTTCTCTGGTTATAGGAGCTGCTTCTCTACTTAAATAGATTCTGTAAGGAAAAGAGGGGTTGAATGGCCAAATGGTTAGCGCATGCGCAATGTATCATAAGGTCTTTCATTTTTTCAACAGGCTTGGTTTCAATTCCCCGGTTGTATGTGACAAGGAGTAGGGTCGCCTGTCAAACCTCGTGGGTTTTCTCGGGGTTCTCCCACTGCTAAATTCCCCTAAGCTCAAGCAAATTATTTAGATAAAATTGAACGATATGTTAGTCCCGAAATGACCTAGTTTGTGTCGAGTGGATGTTAAACCCCATTTCCCTCCCTCCCTATATAAGGGAAAAAAAAAATAGAACCAATGATACATGTACGGTTTCATTTGAGCTCACATGCACGGGAACAAGGCTAAACCATGCATCAGGTTAAACCACGTCACCAGATGAACATCCATTCTTATAGATTGTCAATTTGCTTATTCATGGTACATACTACATGTACTTCATCGATCATTGTTTTCCTATTATTACTTATGTTACAGGATTAAGTCATTTAGATACATTGTCCTGTATCTTGTTGATAACCTAAATATAGTATTAGTATTAATACCTTTATAAAGGTTTGTGTTAATTTCCTGTTAAAGTTGCTTTACACCTAAACAAGACCAAATTAGTGCCATTGTCATCCCCGCCCCCACTTCAAGGTGTATTCAGTATTAGTCATCATGTCTATTATTAGTATTATTAATATTTCCCTTTTATTTTTATTTCCTACTAATAATTTTAAATTATGTTAATTCCTAACTTTCCCCATCTCATAGAGGTGGGTTTTACTGTCTAAATTCAAGCAAGATATCCCCATCTTTGGTGGATATTGAATGAGTAACAAAAAATTCATGGTTATTAACTGCAAAAGTCTTTTTTTTCATAAACCACAATCTGAATAATAGGAATTAGATCATGACCCACTTAATCCTTATCTGTACTTTTAACGATTGAGAAGGGTTGTGCAAAAAAAAATTGCCATAGAACGTCATAAGCATGGTCGATCTTGATTGAAAACTTTCTCTAACTCAGTATCACCCAAAGTCTTCGACACTGAAAACACAAATTATTTGTCTATTTAAATCAACATTGATGTTGTGATCTTACCGGGAAAAGATGGGCTTCTGATATACAATATTTAAGAAAAAAACAGTGACATCATATTCTTATCTGGAGAGTCTGCGCAATAAATACTATCGGTGTAGACTGGAATAACCAGACACTAGAGATTGTAATTCGATTCAGACTTATGGCGTGTTTCGCTGAACATAACTTATTTGAAATTAGAGTAAAAACGGAAACGATTGAATGTAAATCAGTTTATATACATTCATATTACATTATTATGCGTTGCTACCCATTTCTAGCGATTTAGCTCCTTTATTAAATATGTAATATAAAATTTTGTTCACAATTTAGATCTTTAAATATACATTGCCGCGAAAGTATTTATGTGTGGAGTGGACTTTAAAGCCCATTTCTCTCTCTCTCTCTCTCTCTCTCTCTCTCTCACAATAAAAGTAGGGTAAATTTGTTACATGTTTATATGGAACATATAGACATCCAATCGTACTAGAAAAATACTGGATTACCGAAAAACAACAACAAATGTCAATGGTGTATCAGGTAAATGATCTAGACTACAATACATCGAGGCATTATTCATTTTGTGTATGTCAATAAATGTTAATAAAGATACTGTATAGATATACTAATATACTGTATGCATAATGTACATATCATTAGACTTTAGCAAGTCCTTTCTTATCATCGTGAAAGTCATTTGGTTTGATTTAGGGGCCATGTTTAGTAAGACAAACATGCAGGTCCACCTCAGAACAAAATGAAATATAATATGCTTGTTATAGAGTTTCAAACAGGCAACAGATCGTAAACAATGACCGCGGTAGCAGACATAATCTGCACTGAACTGAAGCAAAATATATTATTAATAGTTTTCTTGAAAATAAATTTAATGCATATTAGCTAAAAAAAAAAGACTAAAAGGCTAACTAGTGTCTTTCAATTATTTTCATGGTCTGTTTCCTTAAGAAGTATAGTAGATAAGAGATTATATACATGTGGGTGTGTTATACAGTGTGGAATAAACATAGGTTTATCAAACTAGTATAAAATATATGTTTATTGTGTTTGAATAGTATAGTATAAGTGTTTGATGAGACTGTACAGTGGGTGAACATTACCCTCTAGGTTACTAAAAATTAAATAAAGCTAAGAAATATCCGTCAAACTGGTTTAGCAATTAATAATGAATGTATTTAATAAGTCTTGGTTAGAATACTAGATTCTTAAACATTTTGATGAATTTATTAATAATATTCTGTAAGCTTTTCGATTGGACTATTACATGTGCATGTACATGTATTTGTAATAAAACTGAACCATATGATCTAGTTTGTGTTGAGTGGATGTTAAATCCCATTCTCTTGCTCTTTCTACATGTATATATTTCTTCATGTTTTTTTCCGACGTGGTTTCTACTTGTCAGTGATGCAGGACGGAGGGCCTGACAAGGACAGCTGTCTAGTCCTTTGGATGAGACGAAAAACCAAGGTCCCGCGTAAACATTGGAATGCACGTAAAAGATCCCTTGGCAGTTGGAATTCGATATAAGAGTAGGCGATAGTGCCTCTGCCCGGGCAAAATTTTCCTCATAGCACACTGTATGGCGTATGCCCGCCTTCATGAGCCCAGTATAGGAGCAGAACAGTAGGGCGTTAAACCCCATTTCATTTCATTTCATTTCTTCATGTTTTTGGTATTTTAATTTGCCTGCTTAAACCCTCTTTGTACAATGGATACCCAGTGAATCGGATCATGTAGATGTAGAGATGAGTTTATTTTGGAGAGAGAGAGAGAGAGAGAAATGGGGTTTAACATCCACTCGAACAAACTAGGTCATGATTTAATTTTATTTCAATAATTCGCTTGTGATAGGGGTCTTTAGCAGTGGGAGGAAACCATTCAGCCATCAAACCCCCCTTATTTTGGAGAATTTATACCATTTTATATGCACTATATACATGTAGGATGTAGATTACTTCCGCATGATTTCCAGTTGTAACAACATACATGTAGAGTACTCACATATAGTAGCAGTCATGAGATAATTTATTCACATGATAAGTGTTAGTGAGGTTACACCCATATTTATACATATAGAAATATTGTTTATATATCAAGTATTCTTGATTAATTATCAACAGATTTAGAGGGCTTTGATGGCCGAATGGTTTATAGCACGTGCGCACTGTATCCTCAGGTCTGTTATTTAGTCAACTGGCGTGGTTTCGATTCCCAGGTTGTACGTGACAAGGAGTAGGGTCGTCTGTCCAACCTTGTGGGTTTTCTCCAGGTCTTCTGTTTTCCTCCCACTGCTAAAGACCCCTACGCGCAAGCAAATTGTTGAAATAAAATTGAACCAGTGTTAGTCCCGAAATGACCTAGTTTGTGTCGAGTGGACGTTAAACACCATTTCTCTCTCTATTAGCAGATTTAGGGTGTGGCGTGGGGAGCATATGTCCTGCAATCTCTGCCCCCCCCCTTCTTTTTTTTATGACAAATATAAAGTTTTCATAACCTTTAATTGATTAGGCATGACATCGAAATTCTTAGAATTCCAGGATTGATAATCAGGATGAGCAGTTACCATTACAAGTATATGGTATGCTAATGGTTGCTCTGACACCTTTAATATTCTCTTTAATTATTGAATAAACATGACCTTCAAATTCTAGGAATGCCAGTACATCTGCAAGCTTTGCCAGGTTCTATCCCAGGATTTAAGCCAATGGTTTCTTGTATCTCCCCACTATCCCCTAACTACTAATAGTATCCATATAAAACAGGAACTCCCTGTTAATTTGTATGTAACATGTCTCTAATTCAATAACATAATGAAATCATGGGTATATGGCTACGAAAGAGCCATATCAGTATTTTAAACATAGTATATAGGTAAATAAAGGATATAGGGTTTAACATACTACATTTCTGTACCAACTGGGCTTAATTAAATGAAATGGGGTTTAACATCCTACTGTTCTGCTCCGAACTGGGCTAATGAAGACAGGCATATGCCATACTGTGTGCTATATCGAATTCCAACTGTCAAGGGATCTTTTACACGCACTCCAATGTGTACACGGGACCTCAGTTTTTCATCCCATCCGAATGACTAGACAGCTGTCCTTGTCAGGCCCCCCGTCCTGCATCACTAACAAAGGGGGAACCATGCCGGAAAATCTGGATGAACTTTCTTGGCCAATGCAGGTGTCGAACACCCGACCTCCAGACTAGCAAGCCAGCGTCTTACTCACTTAGTCAACGTCTTACCCACTTAGCCACCGTGACCATCCCCCGGGCTAATTAAGACTTTGGTATAATTATATAGATGATATACTAAGTCGAAAAAGAATTAGTCTAGTTTCAAATAAAATATATTAATCTTTTAAATAAATAATTATTTTTTTGTTTATATATACAGGATATTGGAGAACTGAGTGATTTAGCAAAGGTCACCAACTTTCAACCAGTGTGTTTTGTTAGAGTTCCTCCCCCTGGATCTAAAACAGCAGACATAGATCCTCCAGATGGTGCTCCTGATTCTCCTGCTAGACCGATACATATATTAAATTGTAACGATGAAACCAATTTCATCTCCGATTCCTCACCCTGTCCGTCCCCGTCCCAAACCTCCCGCAAGCTGCACGATGGTCGTCCCGGAACAGCTAGTGAACAGCTTGTTTACTTGGGCTATATACACAAATCAAACTCCACAGACTCCTTGACAAAGGTTTCTCGAAAAAATCTGAACCAGGACTATTACGAGGTAGAGAGTGAATATATCGAACAATTTCAAGCATTTGTGAAAAAATTTGCCACATTTACAAAACATGTACTCAAGAGTTACCTGGTCAATGCAGCAACTGTGCTGAACAATTCTCATAATCGGTGCTTAAATATGTTCATACTATCCGCTTTTGACATGGCCCGAGACATTTTAATAACGCCCAAAAAAATTGAGTTTGCTCGTGAAAAAGAGGAAGATTTGTACAAGTCGTTACTACAGATTTCTGTGTCCAAGTTAGAGGATATTAAGAGTTTGATATCTGGAACAATCAGTAGTATGAGGGATGAACTTCTCAGTCAAGCGGCAGAATATGACTTTATAGGTAAGTAAAAAAACATACTTATACGATTACAGACTTGATATCTTAGGTGTGTTGAAACTGAACAATGCCCACATTCACATTTCTTGTTACCATTGTTAGTTTATTAAATGAAATGAAATGGGGTTTAATGTCCTACTGTTTTTCGTTGAACTGGGCTAATGAAGACGGGCATATGCCATACATTGTGCTATGAGGGAAATTTTGCCCGGACAGCGGCACTACGGCCTACTCTTATATCGAATTCCAACTGTCAAGGGATCTTTTACGTGCCCGCATCTGAACGACTAGACAGCTGTCCTTGTCACTGACACGGGAGTACCACGCCGGAAAATCTGGATGAATTTTCTCGGCCAATGTAGGGAGCGAACACCGACCTCCAGGCTAGCGAGCCAGCGTCTTAGCCACCGTGATCCCCCTAGTTTATTAAAAGGCTACGATGATCCATATATATTTTTAAAATTGTGTATATTGTGTCCTGTCTTGTCACACTGCGCCTACTATAGACAACCCATATCAATTTTGCTAATTTCGCGGATTTGATAAATTTTGGTATACAAAATCTTATTTTGGAGCATATCTTAGAAACATTAAATATATGTACACACATCAACCTATTATAGTAGTAATGCCTTTTGCGAATTGGAATTCTCAGTTGAGTAACATCTTGTACCAGCATGTGTTTGATTTTAAAATTAATTTATCAGGATTGGATCAATTTTTTTGGGGAATTTTCAAAAGGTTTATTTTTTTGGCTGACAGTATAAATTACTATAAATGTCATGCAGTTACATGTACATGTATATCGCTGACTTTTGTTAGGGTGTAGTATTTGACTGACTGTTACTTAAAATAGTGAACAGGTAACAATTATATTGTCATGGTTACATCTTCATAATTATGTTGTCATGTTTACATGTTTATAATTATAGTCATGGAATGTATGTATGTGATTATAGAATTTATTTCTATTTCTTACTACCATTATTGTTGTAAGAAATAATTAGTCTTCAACACCCACTAGAGAAGCCATATATAGCCTCCATTAATTTTTAATGGGATATATAATGTTTATACATGTCATTGTCTTGGTGAAACTTATTGTCTTGACTCCATATTTTCCTGATGTTAATGGTAAATAATAATGAAATGATTGCATATATGAAGTTGATAAAAGTTTTAAAAGTCTAAATTCTATCACACAATCAAATAAAAGTCTCAGTAGCACAAGCAAGCTTATTAATAAAATTATGAGTAACAATGAGTTGTTTTTTTATGCCCACATGTTACTGTGGTATATTACTGTCACCCCTAACAATTTAAAACCAATAAATGTGAGATATATGCCATCGATAATTATATATTTATCTTCATATCGAAGTTATTGTATTACAACTCATAATTATCCAGGTCAGTGTGTTTTCTATAGAGCATGTGGTAATTATGTGTCAGCCACTGGAATGGTTTTCTACGGCCAATTCAGCCATTTCGATTATTTAAGTAGCCAAAAGGGGATATTTAATTAATAAATAATTATCATGAGCCTTACTAATATTTCATTTTTAAGTCCAATATATAATTTTTTGTGTACCCCATGCGGACAAAGTGGTATAGACACGTGAATTCACAATACCATACCATGAATAAAAAACATGAAATATGAATTTACTTTGCAAAGCTTTCGTGCGTTATCAAAAATGACCGGTAGTGAAAATTTTGAAGTGGAAGCCCTGCCCCTAAGCCATGTGGGTCCAACCATCTTTCTGTCTTACATTTCTTGTTAGCCTCTCTAGATATGGGTTGTCTATCTTAATGAAATTAAGAAGCAGTTGATTTATGATAATCCCCTCCAAGAGTTATGCTATTTTATTATGAAATCTTGTTAGCCCTTTATGAACTACAATTATTAACCTGAAATATACTTATCCAATTGACATGGAGAACCCAATTTATTTTCAGTAATTTTCTATAATAACTTCTACAGCTACATTTGTACATGATTGCCACCTTCTTCTCTCAGCTTCAGTGATCATCCAAAATGTTTATCAATTGTTCAACATACATTATGCAAGAGCTAGTAAATCTGCCTATTGCAGGTCTTTCTTTAGGCCTGAAATGTTTTCTAAATGATTAATTAGACATTAATTAACTTATCCAGGCCATAATCAACTCTCGATGGCATCGGATTTCTCTGATATTAAATAGATTAGAACAGTTCAGCCATATTTTGATTTAAGCTAAAAATGGAGGAGCGAGACTTAGCTTCGAACAACCAGTACGGTGGTTGAAATCATTGCACCTGTCTTGTCAAACCTTCAAAGGCTATTATCTTTGCTCGCAATAGAGTAGTTTGAATGAAATTTTCAAATTATTCATTTTACATTATCTATTTTCGAACTATTATAGCAAGAATGGCTAGCTCTTTATCGAAATCTTACATAATGTATCTTTAAATCATTCAAAGGAAGGATCTGTCAAATAACACAATATTTTTTTATACAACTTTTACAAAGTACAATTGTGTGCCCAAATTTTCCCAGCATTTGGTGCCCAAAATGGGGGGGGGGGGGGGCGCTAATATCCGATTGACTTTGAATTTATACACACCATTTAAGGTCATGAGACGAAGAATCCTATTGATTTGATTTGATTAACCAATCAGCGTTGATACTTTTTTAGTAGGATACCCACAGTTCCAAGCATCGCAAACCTAAAACTCGCTGCAACAGACCGTTTCATTTCGCTTATCCCTCACATCAACCATTACGCAGGTTATATAACAACTGTTTCAGATCCTAGTGTAGTATTTACTATTACTAGTAAAGTAAAATGAAATTTTGAACTATAAAAAACAAAATAGGATCTGTGTTTTAATCAGATTGGCTGCACCGCCTGCACGGCAGTGTTCATAAGTCCAATTGGTGCAGAAAATGAAGATGTCAACGGTTAAATTTCATGTTATTTTATAATTATAGGTGTTGATATTGATGATGATGGTAAAATACAAACAGCAAAAGGTTTAAAGATCTGTACCGGTCAGATACAGGAACTGGTGCTTGGAAGACTAAACCACAATATCGCTGGAAAACTCATTAGTTCCGTTAATTTACTCCGTGATTCATATACAGGTAGGCTTCTATTAAACAAATGACATAATAAAAAGATTCTACAATATGCCTTAAAGACACATTCCGGCGTACAAACTGGGTGATTTGATGATATATTTTGACTATATTTTTGTCCTGTATATGCTCCATGAGTGTTTTTCAGGGAATCCAGTATTTTTCTAGTAAGATTGGATATCTCTACTTTCCATATATACCAAAATTGCCATACTTTTATTGGAAATAACCACCTGATAAATACTTTTCTGGGAACTTTATTAAATTTAAAACTTATTTACCGGTACAGTGTTAGTAGAGTATAGAATTATGTAATGTGTCTTGAGGGCAAATAGCTATACCATTTTGAATTGCATACGGGTGTCAAATTTATTTTTAAAAAGAGAAGAATTCTCATGTACTTGTCGTGTTCTTAAAATTAATTGGACATGAAATACTCAAAAAAAAATTTACAACGACATTATTTTGATTTGTGGTTTTGTAGAATTACTAGAAAGTAAATTATGATGTTTATTGTTCTGTGTACAGGTATATTTACAATGTAGAATATAACCTTGTGAATATAAAAGATATATATACCTGTTTTTAAAGGAACATTAACCAGGTGTTTAGAAAGTTTAGAAACCAATGAAAATAATAGTCCTGAAGAAGCTAAAACAACCGATGCTTTAAAACAGGTATTTTATTATGAATTTCATGTACATGTCATATAGACAATTAAAGATTCATTTTTTAAGATCTAAGTCTGTCTAATGTAGATCTTTCGTTTAGCCTCAAATGTTATATAAATCATTATTAGACATTTATTTACATGCCAGGCCCATAATCAACTCTCTAGAACTTCGGATGGTTTTGATTTTCAACAGATTTAAATTCGATTGGCAGTTTGATTTAATTTAAAATCGGGTAATCAAGACTTTGTTTATTATCGTAACAACGGTAGCAATGACAATCAAGAATACACTATTTTGCAAATGACAATAACTATTCTCATAATGAAGTACTTTGGCTGAAATTTTCAACACATCCCCTTTTTATTATTTATCTGTCAGCTCTTTATCTAAATCTTACATAATGCATCTTTACATGTAACTCTGCTCATAATGAAGTAATTTGACTGAAATTTTCAAAATATCCCCTTTTTATATTATCTATTATCTATACCTGTCTTCATTAGCCCAGTCGGTACAGAACAGTAGGACGTTAAACCCTATTTCATTCATTCATTCACTCAAATGACATTTTAGACTTCCTCTCCTAAATGCAGCCATTTCAAACAGATCTGGAAGATGCTTCTGTGTTACTTGTTGCAGATTTCACAGATGGTGGTTCATACAAGATCTGTTGATTAAAGGGAAAAGATTTGCGTAAATTAGTTTAGGAATAAAACAACTTAGGTTCTCCGTTAAGTTAATTTTGAAGCAGCAATGAGTGTCTTCAAGCCAGGATAATTTGTCAACAATTATCAACCTTTAATGATATTATTTGTGGAATATGTTTAAACTCTGTTAATTGTTATATTCTCAAATAATATCAATTGTTGATCTCTCTATAACATCACTGACAGTTAGGGTAGCGAGTAAGACACTGGCTCGCTGGCCTGAAGGTTACGGGTTGGCTCACAGTATTGGCCGAGAAAGTTCATCAGGATTTTCCGGTGTAGTTTCCCCTTGTCAGTGGTATAGGACGGGAGGGCCTGACAAGTACCTGTCTAGTCGTTCGGAGAGGCCGAAAAACCGAGCAGACACGTAAAAGATCCCTTGGCAGTTGGAATTTGATAAAAGAGTAGGTCATAGCACTGCTCTCCAGGCAAAATTTCCATCAAAGCACACTGCATGGCGTATGCTCATCTTCATTAGCCCAGTCAGAGCAGAACAGTTGGACATTAAACTCCATTTCATTTCGTTCATTTCACTGACTGAAAACAAACTTTATTTGGGTTGTCAACTAATCTAACAATTAGGAATGTATGGTATAGTTTATATTATAACGTTATTGCTACTTTAAAGATATATTATTTAATATATAGATAACGTGCTGATCGTTCTAGCTATAATAGTTACAAAATAGATAATGGAAAATGAATACATTGAAAAATTACTTTATTCTGGACACAGTCATTACTGTTTGAAGAATTAGCTTAGATCATTTATTATCATAGCTACGGTACTTGACATTATCTATTTTATCGTTGAATTTTTTAATCTAGCTGGTGTTTAAATCCATTTAAATGTAAATAAATATCTAAATAATAAGATTTGAAGCCAAAAAAAGGCATACAATAGGCAGATTAAGCTCTTGAGTAATATGACTTTAAACTCTATATAAAGACAGTATGTATTTACAGTGCTGGTGTCATACATGTAGGTATCATTAAGACAGGTATGATATATATAACAGGAAAAATTAAACAAGTTTTATACACCTGATGTTATCTAATATTTACAAGGTCAATATTACCACTTTTACACCTCCACATTTATTATTAACACAAAGACATGAACCATTAATTATTTCATGAATTACTTAATTTTTCTGTAGCAGGTCATTGTCCATTATCTAGGTCATTGTGCTAGCTTATGTGGGTTATCTGGGATAGTGTCTGCTAGACAGACAAGGGAGGTAATGCACATAAAAGCTTCTTTGGCAGTTTAAATAGGCCAAAGTGCAGCTGTTGGGGCAAAATTCATCAGTTCCATTGCTCAGTTAACATAGAGATAAAAACACCTGAACATGTTAGTCTCTAAATTATCCCAGTTACGTGTTGACAAGAAGATTTCATGCTCGTGTTTGATTGGCTTTGTTTCTCATTTTTTTATATTAATGTTTTTTTGTCCCCCGCCTTTCGAAGAAAGCAGGGGACTATTAAAATGGGTTCGTCCGTCTGTCTGTCCGTCTGTCCGTCCGTCTGTCTGTCCGTCTGTCCGTCCGTCTGTCTGTCCGTCACACTTTTTGGGACACAATAACTCTCTTCCTAATTGAGCTAGAATGTTCAAACTTGGTGTATGTGTTTATTAGGTCAATGCCTTGATGGAGTTCGAAGATGAGCATTTTCCGCTTAGGGTAAGCAGAGATAAGCAATTTGATTGGTTGATGCTTTGGGACACGATAACTCTCTTCCTAATTGGGCTAGAATGTTCAAACTTGGTGTATGTGTTGATTAGGTCAATGCCTTGATGGAGTTCAAAGATGAGCATTTTCCGCTTAGGGTAAGCGGAGATAAGCAATTTGATTGGTTGATGCTTTGGGACACGATAACTTTTAATTGAGCTAGAATGTTCAAACTTGGTGTATGTGTTTATTAGGTCAATGCCTTGATGGAGTTCGAAGATGAGCATTTTCCGCTTAGGGTAAGCAGAGATAAGCAATTTGATTGGTTGATACTTTGGGGCACGATAACTCTCTTCCTAATTGAGCTAGAATGTTCAAACTTGGTGTATGTGTTGATTAGGTCAATGCCTTGATGGAGTTCGAAGATGAGCATTTTCCGCTTAGGGTAAGCAGAGATAAGCAATTTGATTGGTTGATGCTTTGGGACACGATAACTTTAGTTCTAATTAAGTGAGATTGATGAAACTTGGTGTATAGATTTATTATATGAATACCTTAACTAAGTTCGATAATGAACATTTTTTGCTGAGGGTAAGCAGAGTGATAAGCAATTTGATTGGTAGAAACTTTGGAACACAATAACTCTCCTTCTAATTGAGGTAGAATGTTCAAACTTGGCATAGGTGTCTATTAGGTGAATGTTTAAACTTGATGTATATGTAGATGTTCATTAGGTGAATGTCTTGACTGAGTTCAATAATTAACATTTCGAGCTGAAGCTAAGCAGAGCTAATCGATTTCATTTGTCGATGGTTTGGGACAAGATAATCTTGATTCTATCTGATAGAGAGTGATGAAACTTAGTGAAAAAAATAAATGTGCGATTAATTAATATGTGTCATCTATTTATTTTGCAATTTCGGCGGGGGACATCAGCCTCACTGTTGGCTTGTTCTGTTGGTGTTTTTTTCAGACGTTAAATGCAGCATATCAAGTAGAGATTACAGTTCGATCAAGTTCTTCTTTAATAAAAGTTTTATTAGAACGAATGAAACAGGTACCTGTTGTTTTTGTAGCTTACCTTTAACCCTGTGTTTAGTGAAGTCTGTCCATCCACAATTCTTGTTTCTCACAAATTTTTATCAAGTTTGTAGTTCCTGTTTATTTGGTCATAAGGAAGAACCGTATCATATGAAAGAATTCTCTCAAACTCATTTTGCAGAGTATTCTTTTAGTTATATTTTGACTTCTCAACCCTGTGAACACAATATAGTCTTGAGGCTCGGCGCGGGGGGGGTGTCCATCAAATGGGCACAAAACCAGACCCAACTTTTCTAGAGTGAAATTTTGCATAGAATACGATGCCGAGTGGTAATCAGTCCGCTGTTGGGGCGATTTCGAGATATTCGGGGTCAAATGTCAAATGGGTTCATTTGCACTGAAAGTGAACGCACGGTCATTCTTGTATCATGAAAATAAGCTGAAAATGATCGAAAGTAATCACACTTTCAATAAAAATGTCAACTTGCTAAATTCACCTTTGTTCTTTGTGACCCCAGAGGTCAAAAGGTCACATTTCTGTTTTAGCACTAGGAAGATTTAAAGTAATAAATGTCAGTGTAAAATATAAAAACTAACGCGAAACCTGTTTTAATTAATAATAGGAACATTTAAAATTTATCTTTAGGTGGTCTTAGCACAAAACTTTTACTTTGGAACGTCGGAAATGATCTTGCATAACATAACCAAAATGCTTCGGAGCCTGTTTCAAAAGTATGTAAAAACTGTTAAATCAAAATCTCTCCGAATTAGTTTTGCAACGAATGCTATACATATTGATATAGTTGTCTGAAAAATACAATTGAATAGTTCCATGGCTGGACTCCAGCCTGCAGGCCGCGTCACAAAACCTGCCAAAATTTTCCCCGCTAACATTTACCAATACGACATATATATCCTATGAACTACTATGTACAATGCATTCGTCGGTTTTATCTGCGTCCATGTTCCGGCAAAATTTATAAAAACTCATAAAAAATTTGCGAAAATTTAATCTCTTTGTCAAATATGTGTTTCCCGTCACAGATTAACGTAGGTTTTCCTAGACTGGGATTCTCGGAAATCCACGCGACCTGCAGGCTGGAGTCCAACACTGAAACTATTCAATTGTGTTTCAGATAACTAGTATCATTATTTATAACAATCGCTGTGAAAATAAATCGGAGAGATTTCGATTTGACAGTTTTTATGTATTTTTTAAAAAGTTTCAAAATGTGTTGGTTCTGTTATGCAAGATCATTTTTTTTGACGTTCCATAGTAAAAGTTCTGTGCTAAGACCACCTAAAGATAAATTTTAAATGTTCCTATTATTAATTAGAACAGATTTCGCTTTAGTTTTTATATTTTACGTTGACATTTTATTGCTTTAAATCTCCCTAGTGCAAAAACGGTAAATTTTACCTTTTGACCTTCAGGGTCACTAAGACTAAAGGTGAATTTAGCAAGTTTACATTTTTATTGAAAGTGTGATGACTGTCGATCATTTTCAGCTTCTTTTCATAATACAAGAATGACTACGCATTCACTTTCAGTGCAAATGAACTCATTTGACCTTTGACCCCAAATATCTCGAAAACGCCCCAACGGCGGACTGATTACCACTCGGCATCATATTCTACACAAAATTTTACCCTAGAAAAGTTGGGTCTGGTTTTGTGCCCATTTGATGGACCCCCCCCCCCCCCCCACCCTGCGCTGAGCCTCCGGTCTAATACAGATAAAAGTCCTCATGAAATATTTTCATTGGAATCCTGTTGAAATTTAGAAAATTGTGATAGTAATTTTACATTCCATTTCACAACATCTTGCAAATGCAATACAGAACCAATGGAATATTTTTAAACAGTTCCCAATTTTTTTTTTTTTTTTTTTTTCAATTTAAACTTTGAACACGTTTAGTGTTACCTTTTAAATTTAAAGCTTATGAAAGTGATATAGGAAAAAGGGTCCTCAGTGGAATTTCTTAGAACTTAGTGAAATTGTTCATTGGGCATAAAGTGGAGCACTGCTAGTTGTTTGACAAGAGTCGGTCTATTGTATTGTTTTATTGCAGTAAACATAAAATTCATGAGCATTGACAATATGTATACATTGTATAACATAGATTCAATAAGGTGATGAAGGATGGACATATAGTATTTAATTCATATATTAAAAGATAATAATAATTATTAAACATTAAACATACATTATGCAAGAGCTAAATCTGACTATTGCAGGTCTTTCTTTAGGCCTGAAATGTTATCTGAATTATTAATTAGGCATTAATTAACTTATCCAGACCATAATCAACTCTTGATATCATCACTAGCTTGCGATATTAACTGAATTATGATCCCATTTGCTGCTCGACTGCCATTCATAAATTAATCATGAAATGGATGATCGAGACTATGTTTTTCATTGTACAGACTTTAGTAATGATGATCGAGGCTAGGCCGAAATTTCAATTGCTTAATTTTCGGTTCATAATGGATCAATTTAACTGAAACTTTCAGCAAATTGCCTTTACATTATCTAGTTTTTAACTATTATAGTGAGAACTGCCAGCTCTTTATCTTATCTCCCATAATGTATGATTAATTGTCATAATTACATTAACTTGTTTTTCTTTGGTAACATTAAAGAAAGATAACGACCTAAATTATTTAGAGTTTTGATATTGGTACTTTTTAATAGCAATGCTAATTTATACATTAAAATCTATATTAATCAATATAAAATATACACAAAAATAGTGGGGTACTGCAGTGGCTCAGTGAGTAAGATACTAGCTCACTAACCCGACTCAGTTCTTGGGCTCGTTCCCGGTGTTAGCTGAAAAGAGTTATTCAGAATTTTCTGGTGAAGTTTCCCCTTGTCAGTGGTGCAGGACGGAGAATCTGACCAGGAACAGTGTCTAGTCGTTTGTATGGGACAAAAAAAATGAGTTCCTGTGTAGGCCTACACATTAGGGTGCATGTAAAAAAAAAAATAAGAGTATCACGTAATGTCACTGTGCAGTAAAAATTTCCCTTGTAGCACACTGCATAGCTTATGCCCGTCTTTATTAGCCCAGTTAATGCAGAACAGTAGGACACAAAACCCCATTTCGTTTCAATTTCATTTCAAAAATAGTGATTTTGTGCATTCAAGTTCTAGACACAAATAAAAATCAGAATTTTTCTTTTTTATAAAAGTATTTACTCATGTTGTAATATATCTATTGAAGTAATGTTTTTTGGGGCCAACTTCCAATTATTACTATTGATGGGATGAAGATTCGGTTGAGTTTATCCATTAACGTTTTATGAATCATTAATTTGCCGTAAGGCATATTTTAGTATAAGATTTTATATGATTAAATTTGTTTGTATATTTGATGTAGCTTGTTCGTTCTATGCCATGGAATGCTCCACCTAAAATTGATGAAGAATGGAAGATGAAAGTAGCATCGGAAATGTTAAACAGTTTAAGTGAAGCAAGGTATGGAGAAACGTATTTATAATACAATCGTTTTTAATATAACTCAATAAAATAGAAATGTTTTGGGGAGGGCAGGTGACAAAACAGAATGGATAAAAGATATTTGACGAAAAAAACAATTTTTTTCCAAAATATCTTCCCTTATGTGGGTTGTCTTTGGCCAGAACTATAACGGCCATCCTGTAGATATTCCTAATTTTATAATCACTAAAATTCTATAAACTTCCAGGCATTTGTCAGAGACATTAATTGATTATTTTTTTTACGCTCACATTGAGCGATTTTCAATAATAGAACAGCTTAAGTTATTATCTGATTACTGGTACATGTTTGATTAAATATGTTAGAGTTATATCTGCCCATTACACGGTTTTATTTTGGCCTTAAATGATATATAAATTATTATTTAAACATTTATTCACATGACAAGCCTATAATCAACTCTCTAGACAAACAGATGGCGCAGATGCAAACAGATTAAAACACGATCGCTATTTAATGATTTGATTTAAAAATGGAGAAGCAAGGCTGATTCTTGATTAACAAATAATGTTGCTGCGATAATAAACAATCTGTAAGTCAAAATGGTGATAACATTGCTCAGAAGCGTCTAATTACCAGTATATGTTTTGTTTCGAAGCCTATCAAATTTCAACTATTATTGATAATTACTCCATTTGTTGTTGCACTTGATCAGTTTTTAGTACCATTGCCTGGCAACCTATCTTTAAGTTTTTCAGTTTATCATTTTGTTTTTGTGTTTCAGGTTGGCTAAGAGTATAGCTGGTCAGATTAAAGACAGATTACATAAATCACATGAGGCATTCGGTGCTGCTTTAAAACAATTAGATCAACGTCATTCAGGAAGATTGGACAAGATTGAAGAACAAAGAATTAAACTTAGAAAAGTTCACGCTCCAAAAGTTTCTAAACTAGCTTTAGAGAGTACATCACTTAGAGATCATGTACTGTTTGGTAAGTTCCAGAAAGAAAAAAAAATGGGTTGAATTTTGCATGGATCGTGGCGATTACTTCTGCACTTCATCAGATGTCAACCGTCAAATGTTCTTTTACGTGAACACCGTTATTTATGTTTACATTTGTGGGGCGGATCTCGGTTTTCCCTCCCATCCAAACGGCTAATTGTATTTTCCTTGAAGGTTCCTTTCAGTCCATGCCAGGAATCTAACACGGTAAGGGGGATTGGGTGGCTGAGTAGTCTAACACGTGTCATTGAGTCAACTGGTTTTCATTCCCAGCATATACATGATTAAGAACACATGGTTGTATTGAGAAAAACATGTAGACTTGTTTTCGTGACTGATTTTAAACCAATGGCAAAAGCCTTTTTTGCACTGTAAGTGTTTGATACAATCATATGTAAATTATAAAAATCTGTATTTTGAACTTTGCTGTGTCTGTGAGAAGTCAAGAAAATACATACATATATATATATTTTCTCATATGCGAAAATATAAAGCTGAGGGATTACAGTAATATGACATCTATTGTTATTCCAGGAATGCCTCAGATGGGTCGTGAAATAGGGCGTGGTCAGTATGGCGTTGTTTATGCGTGTGAGAAATGGGCTGGCAGGCATCCATGTGCTATAAAATCTGTGGTACCACCAGATGAAAAACATTGGAATGACCTGGCGCTAGAATTCTTTTATAATAAGTAAGTATTTTCTGACACACCTTCTCAGGCCCGTACCTAGCTGGGTTGGCCCCCATCTAGCTACGGGCCTGCTTCTTAAATTTGACCTAGGTGACTGTATATTAACCAAGTCGAGTTTGAAATTAGATTTAAGGTTGCTCTGCAGTTGATGTGCTCTTAACCCGTTAACTGCGTAGGGAGTTATATAACATCCTGGACAACTGCCACTCACCGTGTGTAGGACGTAATATAACGCCCTGGAGGTATTTTCTCCAACCTATTCTTCGAACTCGATCGCAGCATGTGAAGGACGTTAGGAAATCTAATTGAAGGGAGACAACTCTATTTACCGTTAGTTTTAATATGGTATTAGACCACTTAAATTTGTATTCAGGAAGAAATAGGACAAAAAATGACTTTTTTCGTCAAATTAATTACACAATAGGGGGTAGTTAACGTTTTAAAAACTACGCAGTTAAGGGGTTAACAATGTATGTCAAATATCAATAACTGTATGTTTCAGAAATATACCTGACCATGAGAGAATAGTGGCGTTACGTGGGTCTGTGATAGATTATCTGTATGGAGGGGGGACAAGTCCTGCAGTATTATTAATCATGGATAGATTACAGAAAGATCTGTATACAGCTATACAACTTGGTTTAGACTGGAGTAGTAGGTAAGATAACAGACAATAATCCTTTTAAGACATATAGAAATAGATTTCACTAAAAATAAACACACTTATATGGATATACTACTTCTGAATTTTATTAACATGATACGTTTCAATTAATTGTTGTTATAGTGTTATCTGCTAAAATGGTCTATATATTACATCTTTCATCTTATTAATCAATTTGTTATTATTATTTTATCTGCTAAATGGCTTCCAAAGTGTTCAACTATATATTGCACCACATTTTTGTTAACTAATCATTATTTGCTTGATAACGATATATGTATGTGTATTGAAACGTGGCATGTTAATAAAATTTAGAAGTAGTATATCCATATAAGTGTGTTTAATTTTAACAGACACATTCTTAAAAACAACAGTTTTAATTGAATTTGATAAAAAAATGTCAGGCATTAATGAGATGATGCTGGACATTCTTAACTTATATTATTTTAAATACTAATAAAACACAAAAATAGACAAATTCTGAATTTGTGGCTAATAATGTCAGTGACAAGTGCATCTCTTTCCAGTGTCAGGACAGAGGCTTTGTTCTTTATATCTGGCAGATATTTGTGAATTACTGTTGCATGTCAAAAGGTGTAGGGTCACCTGCCTTACCTTGTTTATTTTCTCCTGGTCCTCTGCCCCCCCTCCCATTGTTACAGACCCCAGTGCACACTCATTATTTCATATGTTAATCTTGAAATGACCTAGTTGGTGGGGGGGGGGGGGGTGATGGTCGAATGGTTAGCTGGTGCACGCTGTATCATAAGGTCTGTTATTGAGTCAACTGGCGTGGTTTCGATTACCCAGTTGTACTTCACAAGGAGTAGGGTCGCCTGTCCAACCTCATGGTTTTTCTCCGGGTCCTCCGGTTTCTTCCTACTGCTAAAGACCCCTACGCGCAAGCAAATTATTGAAATAAAATTGAACAATATGTTAGTCCCGAAATGACCTAGTTTGTGTCGAGTGGAGGTTAAACCCTCCCTCTCTCTCTCTCTCTCTCTAGTGTGTGTTGTGTAGACCTTGAAACCAATTCTGTCTCTGTTTCAATCTCCCATACATTGTGCTATGGGGAAATCTTGCCCAGACAGCAACAGTTTCTGCCTATTTGTTTTAGAATTCCAACTGTCGTGGGTTTTGTATGTGCATGGTAACAGGTACATGGATGTACCTCAGTTTTTGTCCCGTCCGAAGGACTAGATATTTATCCTTACCAAGCCCTCTATCCTGCACCTCTGGATAAACCAGACTAGAAAATCCTGAGGAACTTGGTTTTCCAGCATGTAGATTGAATGTATTGTAATTTTTTATTGTTATACAGATTACAGGTTACTATAGATGTAGTAGAAGGGGTGAGGTTTTTACATGGACAAGGTTTAGTACACAGAGATGTCAAACTAAAAAATGTTCTGGTGAGTTGATAACATTTGTTACATTACAAGAAAGCATCGGTAGTCATGGTCTTGTGTACTTTGTGATAACTAATTGTCATCTTGGTCAAGTGACGTCAACACAGTTTTTGTAGTTCTAATGTGAATGCTGCTTCTTCCATATAATTTTAGTCATTTCTTTCTCATTCCAATATTTACTTCATTAGGATAGTTAGCGTCCACATAAGAATGAACATAAATAAATCGATGGTCACCATTTTTAAAATAGTTACCTTCCTTCATCGCAGCTAATCTGAAGAGGGTATTGGGGGGGGGGGGTATAATTAAGGGACAGTCTGCAATAGTTTAGTTGGAGTAGAAAATAAGGCGTTTAACCCTTTTGATTACATTTTGATGATGTTAAAGTAGCCAAGTCTCTAACTCAATATCATCCACAGTCTTTGACATTAAAAACACGATTTATTTGTCAATTTAAATCAACATTGATGTGGTGATCTTACCAGGAAAAGATGGGCTTCTGATATCCAATATTTAAAACAAAATAAACATTTTACCATTGTGTACCATAATGCATTTCAGTCCCATTTGTAACAAGGGACTTGAAGCATGAGTCATGTCACACGGTGATGACATATTCTTATCTGGAGAGAATGCTCAATAAATACTATTGATGTAGACTGGAATAACCAGATGCTAGAGATTGCCATTCGATTAAGACTTATGTATTTTGCCGAACACACCTGATTTGAAATTAGAGTAAAAACGGAAATGATTGAATGTAAATCAGTTTATATACATTCATATTACATTATTATGTACATTGCGACCCATTTGTGTCAATTTCTAGCGATTTAGCAATTTAGTTCCTATAAATAGTATCAATAGTGCACAGCAGTATCTGAGAACAAGAATATTTGTCTTCATAGGACCTAAATTGAAATGAGATGAAATGAAATGGGGTTTAACGTCCTACTGTTCTGCTCCGAACTGGCTAATGAAGACGGGCATACACCATACAGTGTGCTATGAGGGAAATTTTGCCCGGACAGCGGCCCTACGGCCTACTCTTATATCGAATTCCAACTGTCAAGGGATCTTTTACGTGCACGCCAATGTGTACACAGGACCTCGGCTTTTCGTCCCATCCGAACGACTAGACAACTGTTCTTATCAGACCCTCCATTCTGCATTACTGACAAGTGGGAGCAATGCCGGAAAATCTGGATGTCCATATGACCTAAATTGACCTTAATAAGAATATGTTGCTTATCCAACATGCTATACCTTATAATATAATGGTATTAATAGTGACTTAACAATATTGTTTATCCAACGTGCTATACCTTACGTCAGTGGTTACTCAACCTTTTTTTGCCAACGGCACACCTTGGAACACATGAAAACATAGCGGCACACCTGGCTAAATGCATATAAAAAATATTTGAATTTTGTGAAATATAAACATGGCAAGTCAGACGGCATACAACCATAGATAGAGACTGGTCATAGACTCAAACTAAATGAAGAAAACCCCAGCTATGAACTTAACAGTAGACACCAGTGAATACTCAATTGGGATCTTGTGGTATTTCGCATTTTCTTAGTGTGCCGTTCAAAATTCTGTGGCACGCTTAGTAAGATCTCGCGGCGCACTGGTTGAGAATCACTGCCTTACGTAAATGTGTATTTATATGTTTTGTATTTACAGCTAGATGAGAAAAATCGTGGTAAAATAACTGATCTGGGTTTCTGTAAACCAGAAGCCATGATGAGTGGTAGTATTGTAGGTACACCAATACACATGGCACCAGAATTATTCAGTGGACATTATGATAATAGTGTTGATGTTTACGCTTTTGGTATTTTATTCTGGTACGTCTGTTCTGGTCATGTCCGTCTGCCTTCAAACTTTGAACAATGTGCTAATAAAGATCAACTATGGCAATCTGTCAAAAAAGGTAAGTTTGGAGAAATTGAATTTTTATGCCGAAATTAAGTTATTTTGGATCCTTTCTGGAACCAATGAATAATGTTTGTATTCATGTATTTACTGTGATGGGTAAAATTCCATGTATAGAGTCTTGTGTATCCAATTGGCAGCACATTCAAGATACCTTGACAGGGGGAAATAGATAAAAGAGTAGGTAGTAATGTCGCTGCAAGAGTAAAGTGGTATATGCCCATCTTCATTCCCCATATCCGGATATTTATGGAAGGGGGGGTTGGATGGCCAAATGGTTAGCATGTGCTAGGAGTAGGGTCGCCTGTCCAACCTCGTGGGTTTCTCTTGGTCCTCCGGATTCCTCCCACTGCTAAAGACTCCAATGCGCAAGCAAATAATTGAAAATAAAATTGAACCATGTGTTGGTCTCAAAATGACCTGGTTTGTGTCGAGTGGACGTTAAACTCCCATTTCTCTCTCTCTCTATTTGTTATGTGTGTATCGGTAATAACATTTAATTAAAATTTAATTCTGTATATAATAAATGCCTGTATTATTTGTGTATGTAATTAATGAATACTAATTATCCATTATAATTTTTACTTTTTCAAGGTTTGCGTCCAGAAAAACTACCTACTTTTGATGATGAGTGTTGGTTATTAATGAAGGCATGCTGGGAAAATGAACCAATGCGTAGACCGTTTCTAGGAGATGTAGAAGAATCTCTGAAAGGAATATTCGAAAGGTTTAAGAAAAGACCACCATCAAATATTAAGAATAAAGAGAGCAGAAAAATTGATAAAAATTCACAGCGTAATAAATAGAGACTGGAGTTAAAATAAACAAATTCTTTGGTTTCTTGGGAAATATATTTAAATTAAAATTTCATCAAATGATCTACTAGCAGAAACAAGATTATTGTTCACGGACATCTTGCTTAACTCCCTTGTTCTATTTGTGGAATTGGGTGCCTGAGTGTAATAGATCATAAGATCTGCCACTGAGTCAAGTGACGTAGTTTCTATCGCACACTGGTACGTGACATGGAGTATGGTTGCCTGCCTATACTTATGGGTTTTCACCAGGTTTTCCGGTTTCCTCCCACTGCTAAAAACCCTACCCTCAAGTGAATTATTGAAATATTAAATATCTACCATATATCGGTCCCGAAATGATCTACTTTATAGATATTTCTGTTTGATTGTGTACAGAAATGAAAAAAGTCAAAATGTATTGATGGCCAAAATTAGTTTAACAGAACACAATATATATGGGAAACAATCACTGGTTTAATTCTAAAAGCATCATGTTTTGACAAGTATCTTCTTATCATTATCAAGCACAATGAGTTTATTGTCTATGGAAATTTATTTCAATATATAGGGGGTTTGAATCATGATCAGTAAAAAGAATGATTTAAGTGGTGTTTAAAACCCTGTAAAAGTCTTCATTATTGGAAAATGCTCCAAATGTGACAAAAAACAATCTTACAAACTATGTTTATGTCATCTATTTGTTACAAAAATATCTAGTCATTCAAATTCAGTGTGAATATAAGTTTCTGTAACACAAGGATACTGAGAATGGTGGTATATGGTACTAGCATATTCTTGGTATATGGTACTAGAATATTCTTGGTATATCATTCTAGAATATTCTTGGTATATGGTACTAATAATTTTTTGATAAATATGGTACTAGCATATTCTTGGTGTATGGTACTAGAATATTCTTGGTATATGGTACTAGCATATTTTGGGTAAATATGGTACTAGAATATTCTTGGTATATGGTACTAATTATTTTTTGGTAAATATGGCACTAGCATATTCTTGGTGTATGTTACTGGAATATTCTTGGTAAATATGGTACTAAAATATTCTGGTAATTCTTGGTATATAATACTAGAATACTCTTGGTTAATGTCATACTAAAATATTCTTAGTAAAGTACTTAGATATTTTTAGTAGGCCTATATGATACGCTATTAAAATACTATGGTACCAAAATATTTTGTATTTTGTCAATGTTTTTGCTTGTAAATAACTATTTAATCAATTTACTTTTGTCTGTGTGTCAAATTGTGATAAAATATAAAAATACAGTTAGTGTAAAAGAAATAAAGGTGTTTTGAAATTGATATCATGCAGGCTGTCATTGAGATAATGAATCATTATTATTATGAAACATATTACCATTTATCTACAATGACAATCTGATTAAAATACAGATCTATATTTCGTTTCGTTTTTTTTTTTATACTTTCGATGGCCTACACTACATTAAGATCTGACCGTCAGAGGTCATACGGGAGGCTTTTGACCCTATGATGTCAGACATTTGATTAACCAATCAGCATTGAGGTTACTGGTGGATTACCCACAGTTCTGTGCAAAACATGCCTAAAACTTGCCATAACAGACCGTTTCATTGACTAATAGCTCACATCATTCAGAACACGTCAATGATAACAACTCTTCCAGATCCTAGTGTAGTAAAGACAAGTAGAACGAAATAGGATCTGTGTTTTAATCAGATTGCTACAATGATGAAATGAAATGGGGTTTAACTTTTAACGTCATATTTTTATGCTCAAACTATGCGGATGATGGCAGGCATATAACTTACAGTGTCTAGTGGATCTGATGGGACGAAAAACAAAGGTCCAAATGAGCTCTCTTGGGATTGGAGCAAGTAATAGAACCCTGACAATTGAAAGTTCTGGTGTCTGGGCAAAATTTCCCCCACGGGACATTGATGCAGAAATGTAGGGTGCTAAACCCTATTTCACTGGGTTTTTTGACAATGTTGAAGATAAAGTGGTATCAATATTGACATAATAATAAAAAGGGGGGAAAACCCATCATAATAGCTGGATTATTACCAAGTGTTATTAGAGTATTGTAAATATATTAGTTTTTTTCTGTTGTTTGTTTGTTAGATTGTAATTTTATTTGTTGACATTTAGTAGGATGAAGTTCGCATGTTTGAGAATCTAGAAAATTGTAAGTAAACATGTAATGAAGGATTCTTTAAAACATGTATTTATAAGAGGCTAATCTTTGCCTCGTATGTTGATTGTTATATTTTGCCCGAACACTATTTATTCAATATAAAGACACATCAATTCACATTTGCCCTATCTGTTTTTGCCGGCTGTAGTCTTGGTCAGCAAGTTGTCAGTTTGAAGAACAATATATGTCATATAGTAAGGTGTGTTTGTAGAGTAGAATTACATATTTGATATATCTAGAAAATCTACCATGTCAATATAACATATGACACAATTATATGGAATACAAGATACTTGAAGAATTTATTTCAGCGATGTTTCAACAAGGGTTCCGCCGTCTTTGCTTGATGAAGACAGGAGAACCCTCGTGAAAATAAATCCTTCAAATTACTTGTATTCCGTATAATTGTGTCATGTGTTATTCTCAGTCAATATCAATTATTGATATATCACTGGTTTGAATTATTCACTATTCACTTACAAAGAGGTTAAAGATGCATTGTGTAAGATTTAGATAAAGAGCTAGCTGTTTTTGCAATAATAATTCAAAAACAGATAATGCAAGATGAATATATTGAAAATTTCCTTCAAATTGCACTATTCTGACCGAAGTTATCACTGTTTGTAGTTTTAACAAGATGTGTGCATTGATTGTTTATTATCGTAACCACAGTTCTGGTTATTTGAGACTTAGCCTTGCTTCTCCATTTTTAAATTAAATCATTAAATGGCCAAACTGTTCTAATCTACTTAAAATCTCTGCCATTCGATGGCCTAGAACGTCGATTATGGTCTTTTCATGTTAATAAATGTCTAATTAATAATATATGTAACATTTAAGGTCTAAAGAAAGATCTGCAATAGGCAGATTTAGCTCTTGAATAATGCATCTTTAACTATCCAACCAAAGAGTCTTTTAATTAACTCATCAATATGTACATGCTTACTGTGTGCTAATATGAAGATAAGTTATAAAATTAGTGCTTTTCTCTTTTAAGTTTTATCAATTGTGCTTAAAGGAGTCAAATCTTTATTGTGTTGGTCAGTATAAATTATAGAATCGGGATGATCTGATGTGTTATTTAGATTTCTGATAGAGAAATATCTATACCATTCATATTTCATTTCAATAATTTTTTAGTTCAAAATTTGACTTTCTGTGTTGACAATGTAACACAAAATCAATCAGATCCAATGAAATCCATTTTGACCCAAATCAAAGATTTCTGGAAAATTTTATTTTGGAATAGGCTACCCTGATTTTTTTTTTAAAAAAAAAAAAAATATGTACACTCACATATTATAAATGGCATGTTTATAATCACTGATGAATTTCCTAAGAAATCAGCATTATTATAACTTTCTGTCTATACAGTAAACAAGACAGCCAAATGTTAAAATCTATTATGTCTTTACCGTTTAGGTTCTAGTCCTTTCTTTATTTACAAATGTTAGTCTAGTCTGTGAGGTGATTATAAATTGTAATTAATTAAATAGTCATACTTATGGGGGATCTATATCAAAATTCAGAATCGCACAATTTTTTGGGTGTTACACTGTGCGGGTCAGCATGCAACTGTGTAGTAGCCCTATGAACTAATCAAAGAACCAAAGTGCACAATCTACTATTTGAAATTTTAATTTGTTTTTAATGAAAATATTATAGTTATCAGCTTTGTTTAATTAGTATTGTCATTAAGTGATCAACAGTCTCTGATCGGCATTTGAGAGATTTTGAATCCCTTGCTGCAATATCCTAAAAGTTGAGTGTCTAAAGGCAATATCAGTCCAAAAATGGTTCATCTATTTACATGATGAACTAAAAAGGTCTCGGCATTGCATCCTTGATGGGTAAAAAGTTTTATCTGATTGAGTCGTGGTCATTATCAATTTGAATACAATTTAAGCTGTGAAAATGTAGATTATCAGAAAATGCAAATGCCTATCAGTAAATTGCTGTAAGACAATGTTTCTTAGTGTAGCCTTAATCTTAAATGACTGGTTGCTAGGTACCTTTGTTTGAAGGATATATCAACATTCCAGGGACCTGTTTCACGAAATTGTAACTATGATAAAATCCAAATTTTAGTTGTTTGATTGGATAATATTAGATTGATTTTAGTGCTTAGCCAATCAAAATTGAAGTATCTACTAAAATTTTGATTTTAGCCTTAATTAAGATTTCGAGAAACAGGGCCCAGATCCTTAATGGTAGACTGAGGTTTCAGTTACATAGTTTAAATAGGTGCCAATAGGAACTAACTGGTTATGATTAGGTTTAGTTTAGGGTTTTAAAAAAATCTGGGCTTAAACATTGTGCATTTCTTTTTAGTATTTTTATTGGTTAAATGTCTTAGACATAAAGTTTGAACCACAAATTCCAGGGTTATCCCTTTGTGGGGAAATCTTATTTACACTGTAGAAGTGGTATAATTTGGTCACAGCAAATCTGTCATAGTGTTTCATGATGGTATATTTATGGTTTGTTTGCTATGTAGAATACTGTGACTTGATATTCATATATAGTTCTGCGCCTCCCTGTATTGTGCTTCGCATTATTATATTCTATATGTAAATATGTTTCCCATATTTAAGTCTTTCATTTATGAATATTATATACTGTACTTATTTAGGTTTTGTCTATGTTATTTATAGTACAGTTACTGTAGTTCATTATCTAGATTACCTATTTCATATTAAATATATGCTAATAAAGTGTATGTGGTTTGTTCTCTTGTCTTAAATGAATGAGATGATGCATACCCTTTAAAGGCAGGCACATACAAACTGTAATACTGTCACTAATTCACACTCTGTTTAGATACAAGAGCATCGCTAATACTTCAATATAGGTCCACATTCCTGCTTTGATTGATATGGTACTTTTGAAAATGAAGAGAATGAAATATGAAATGGCTGTAGTGACTGTAGGAGGCAAATAAGGCTAGGAGATGGGTTTGGTTTGCCAAATTTACAAAAAACGTGGGTGTGACACCGCCCCAAGGGGTCGGGGCATGCACCCAAAAAAATAGTTGCTGTCTTTGTGGTATAAGAAAAAAAATATGCAAAGTTCCAAGATGATCCATTCAGAATTGCAGTCTGTAGATGATAAACACAAAAAATGGGCGTGGCTCTGTGCTTGGATATGGAACAATATAAATAGGTACCGCCCTGTTATTAAACTAAGTGATATGCTTAATTTGAACAAAATATGTTTATTATTGCAACTTGCAGAGTAATTACAGGCAAAAAATTAACGAAATAGTGAGTGTGGTACCACACCCATGAGGGTCGGGACATGCACCAAAATTAAAAGTTGCCGAACATAGGCTATAAGAAATACATCTGCCAAGTTCCAAGCTGATCCATTCAGAATTGCGGCCTGTATACGATAAACACAAAAATTGGGCGTGGCTTTTCCCCTGGGGGTCGGGACATGCACCAAAATCAATAGTTGCCATACTTAGGCTATAAGAAATACATCTAAGTTCCAAGACGATCCATTAAGAATTGTGGCCTGTAGGCAACACCACAGACACACAAAGGGACTGGGTGTGGTTATGCCCGTGGGTGTTGGTCATGCACCAAAAACAATAGTGATAATCCTTTAGGTATAAAGAATAAGTATGCAAGGTTTTAAGTGGACCCATTAAGGAATGCGGCCTGTAGACGACAAACAGATACAAAAAACGGGCGTGGCTCTGCCCCTGTGTGTCGGACATTCACTAAAATTAATAGGGGTCATCCTTGAGGTATAATGAATAAATATGTAAAGTTTCAGACGATCAGTTAAGAATTGCGGCCTGTAGGCGACACACAGACAGGGGCAACGGTAATTATAATGTGGACGTATAAAAATGGGCAATTGCTAGTTAGTTATTCATTAGTGAGTCACGATGGCTAAGTGAGTAAGACGCTGGCTCGCTAGTCTGGAGAAAGTTGGCCGATTTCCGTGTACACATTGTCATGCACATAAAAGATCATTAGTAGTGGGAATTCGATAAAGGAGAGAGAGAGAAATGGGGTTTAACGTCCACTCGACACAAACTAGGTCATTTCGCGACTAACATATGGTTCAATTTTATTTCCATAATTTGCTTGCGTGTAGGGGTCTTTAGCAGTGGGAGGAAACCGGAGGACCCGGAGAAAACCCACGAGGTTGGACAGACGACCCTACTCCTTGTCATGTACAACTGGGGATTAGAAACCACGCCATTTGACTCAATGACAGACTTTATGATACAGCGCGCACGTGCTAACCATTCAGCCATCCAACCCCCTTCGATAAAAGAGTAGGCCTTAGCGCCGCTGTCCGGCCAAAATTTCCTTCATCGCTCGAGAAGAATGATCGAGAGATTTTAAACCAGGTAGCCACATGGCAGATGGTTGCCTGTGGGGCTGTCAAGATTTCCGCATACAAATTAGTAGTGCACGCTAAAGATCCCTATATAGTTGGAATTCGATGATGAGTGGCCTGAAACGCTGGTACCCGGGCAGACCTAACATAAGTTAACATATTTACATTATTGAGGCATAACTCAAATACAGGTACATACTGAATCCATGACTAAGCAGGGGCTTAGCTCAGCTCGGCTACATAAATTCTTTTGTAAATCAACACTTTTTATGAGAAAAGTTTCTCGGCCGTGTGCTTTATCCTTTATCGTCAGATGTGGGACAGGATGGGCACTCAAAGCACGAGATAATGATATAGACATTATGTGATACCAGAATTAATGCTTTGCATCCATGAAATTGAATCACAATGTCATTGTATTAATTCATAATAAAAAAATGACGTCAAACGAGCTGTTGAATTTCTCTGTTTTAAAAGCTCAATGTGTATGTATTTACGCCAAAATGACGATAGAGACCATGCGGGAGGGGGGGGGATACATTGTACGTATAATTACATATCTAAATTGACTAATAGATAAGTTAAGTTAATTATATATACATCAAAATATGTACTATAACATTTTTAACAGTTTTATTACCAGTATAAACACAGGCGTTCATAAACTCCTATAACTGAATAAAACTACAATAAACTCATGACAATACACTTTATCGAAATTCGAAATTAATTCGACATGGTCTCGCGAAAATTTTGATTACATACTATTTCACAATTCAAAGATAGCCGCTGTTGTAGTGGTGTCATAGATTGCAAAACTAACGATTCTAAATTCAGAAGAACCGATCAGTTGGTCTTGTTCTGTGGTTCCATTGTTTTAGCAGAAGCTGTCAGTTAAATCAGTATTTAATGTCGTAGATGAATCCGAGTTCTGTTTTAGCAAGTTTTGACGCGAATCCGACGAGTTGTTCAATATTGTGTTTTGTTTTGAACGTCTTCGCGAACAGTGAACTATCGCAATTACTACAAGCACAATACTGACACATGCTAATAGAACAGAAACAACAATAAGACTAACATCTGATTCTGTGGAAGTCAACGCCTCAACACCCTTGATCCATTTCCCCGTATTTTCGTCGTAAGTGAAATCACTAGTACTCCCATCTTCTAATTCTGACAAAACTGAAAATGGAGGTCTTCGAATCGGTTGTAAACCAATGGCTGACATGGCCCTGGTAACAATGCAGACATGAATAGGGCAATCTTTATCAATTAGTACAACCTGGGCACTAAATCCTTTCGGGCAAGATTTTGGCCAACCAGCTTCTCCTTGGTCTATGTAGAACTTTGATAACGTGTTGGGATTATTCTCAGTTAATTTCCCGGGTTTCATCTTTTTTATTGCTAATGGGTTTCCTTCATTACAACTAAAGAAACCCCCAAAAGGCAACGCTGCTTTAGCACCGCTTACATAGTCATCGCTCAAACATATTTTGAGATCTAGACCAACCATTTCCGGGTAATAATGTTCTGGACAGGTTTTATCTTCAGTCAATGGATTGGCAACAGCAGACGTATAAAACCCACCAAACAAATACCCGCTATTTTGAGGGACACTGCTATCTGCTAAACACCAGAAGCTGGAAATCGTTGCATAAATTGATCGTATGTATTCTTTGCAACATCGTCCCAACCCCCAAAATCCACAACTACGACAAGCGCGGTTATAGTAGCGTCTTGTTAGAGTTTCCTTGTGTAGGAAAACAGATTTGTAATTTGATGGACAGGTAAAGTCTCTGGTTTTCGGATTTTTTCGATCTTTATTTAGGCATAGAATCTTATCTGAATGACACACTTGATAAACTCCACCAAAGGAAAGATTGGTCAGAGGGCTTTTGCAGCTTCCATCATCTAGGTTAGCCTGGAAAGCAAAGTTGGGTGACTCAGGTTCTAAGCATCCTCGGTAAGTGTTATACTCATAATATTGTTCAACAGCTGCTTTGATATGGCTGTGTAATTGTTTAATAATATAAGCCGGAAGTTCGGGTAGCGTATTCGAGTTGATTAGGTGATATATTGGATCTCCTGACCTGTCCATAGCCACGAGGTTGTTGTCCAAACTGTTAGCCCAGGCATTTGCTGTATAATTAGTACCATAAATAGATCCCCCATAGGTTTCTACATCAGAACTTACTTTACTATTTTCATAAGCCTTGGAATTTGTGAAACCGCTACGGGTAAAGTATGAAGAACCCACATTAACAATGCCAAAAAAGTCGGCACGTGCAGATATCTTGATGTCTTTCATGTGAGCTAGGGAGTCCTTTACATAGGTTTGGGAAATAAAATCTTCCTTCACCAAAGCTGCACCAGCATGAACTTTTGTGAGAACATGTGTTCCAAAGTCTCGAACTAATAATTCGCTCTGATATCTTGCTTCGTTTGTCTGGTTCAGCTGAAGCTTGTGGGCGATTTGTGTAACTGCAGATTTGAAAGATGGATGAAGAAGAGCGTGTGGCTGACGGCTGGCAATATATCGGATATAACGCAACTCTACTCTTGTGATGTAGGTCTTGCCCTTCTGTTGCTTTACTTTTGCCTCCCGGTACGCATGGGAAAAACTTCCACTGATACTAACCCCGCGATAGCTGAACCCTGCTTCTACGTTGATAGTTTTTGCTGTAACGCTTGAATAGTCTTGTAGGTTCATAATAAGTTCAGCAAATGCGTGAACTTTACTAGTCTTGACTGGACTTAGATGTACATTATCAGGAATTAGGTATTTGCCATCTTCCGTGAGCTTACACTGGGTATATTTAGTATCCAACACCAATCCGGCTTCCACGTTCCGAAGATTGTCCCATCCAAATATAGGTAGAACTTCGAATGTGTGAACCCCTTTCTCGTACATAGATGAACAATATCGATAGTCGCCAACGGTGAAACTATTTTTGGAGTCGATTCCCAAAACGCCTAAAAAGCATAATAAGTTCGTTATTTGGTAAACCTTTAACATCTTTTCTCTTTCTGTGTGTGCCCATCCACGCAAAATTACTGCAAGTTGTATGTCTGGATTATTTATACGTTTTCTATGGTTGAATCACAAAATATAACTTGACCTAAATGTGAATCATCATCTATCGTCCTGGGTGACACACCAAGAATTATTAAAAGCTTCCCTAATGATTGTACGGCACATCAATAAATATCTAAAAGGTCTTTTCTGTCATTAGTGCAAAAAAAATCATGTCCAAATATGGACATTGGATATGACCGAAGTCTTCATGTATAGTTTTTTTTATGGTGTGATAAAAGTTTCATGGTTACTTACAATGGCGCCCATTCTTGTAATCGGGCAAACAATAATATCGTGCTTCAAACACTGAAACTTAAATATACACACCAACTTCCGCCATATATTTCTTGGAAAATCTAACCTTATAAATCTTGCCCCATCACTAATCTAAATATAGATAATACATCATATCAACCCAATTTGATTTCTTGACAGTGTAATGTTTTAATTTGTATTATTGTATTATATATACACCGTTCTATGACTTTTGGAGTGCCTCAAACGCCATACCTTTCTTCCCCAATCGGGATAATGAAGACGAACACGGGCGATTTGGAGAATGACAACTTTTCTTTTAGATATTATATTCTCATATACCTCTATGCAATAATAACGAGAGAATCGTCACCACAAAAACACATATAACCTGTACTTTAGCAGGGGATCACGGTGGCGAAGTGGGTAAGCCGCTGGCTCGCTAGCCTGGAGGTCGGGTGTTCGATCTCTGCATTGGTCGAGAAAGTTCATCCAGATTTTCCGGCGTGGTTCCTCCTTGTCAGTGATGCAGGACGGAGGGCCTGGCAAGGACAGCTGTCTAGTCGTGCGGATAAGACGAAAAACCGAGGTCCCGGGAATACATTGGCGTGCACGTAAAAGATCCCTGGACAGTTGGAATTCGGTATAAGAGGAGGTCGTAGTGCCGCTGTCCGGGCAAAATTTCCCTCATAGCACACTGTATGGCGTATGCCCATCATGATTAGCCTAGTTCGGAGCAGAGCAGTAGGACGTTAAACCCCATTTCATTTCATTTCATTTCTGTACTTTAGCAAACGTTATCTTCCAGGGGGCGGGGGCGGGGGGCTGGGGGTGGTGGTATTCGACTCACAAAGTGTTAAATTCGAGATATTCACACTCCTTCAAATCAGTGGCGTATCGGCGGAAAATAGCGCTTATGACATGCACTGGAATTGCGCCCCTATCTAATCATCTGACACCAATTTTTTTTTTTTTTTTTTTTTTTAGATAACTTTACCATAAAATTCGCTCAAAAATACAAGTCAATTTAGTTAATCTTTTAACTAACAAATTAAATTATGGCACTACATGTTTTACAATGTACCTTCCTTGCTTTCACTGGTGCAATAGCCTTAGTGCCAGAACTCTCAGTGGCACCTCCTTCAAAGTGGTGCCCAGGGTATGTGCCCTGTCTGCTATACCGTAGATACGCCACTGCTTCAACGAGTTTTGCTTTTATTCCGTTTCGGACTCCAGTGAAAAGAAATAAAATGGGGTTTAACGTCCTACTTTCCTACACCGACTGGGCTAATGAAGACGAGCATACGCAGTGTACTATGAGGGAACCTTCTCTTATATCGAATTGCGACTGTCAATGGTTCTTTTATGTGCACCTCCAGGCTAGCGACCAGGCGTGTTTATCGCTGAGCCTCCCCCACTCCAGAGAGGTTACTATTCTAACATTCTAGTTCATAGTGCACTCCACTTTTAAAGATAGGTTGCCAGGCAGCAAAACATACGCCCACAGCAGCTAAATCGTCCGAGCGGTCGACAAGGGTTGTCGAATATTTATTCCTTTGTAGGTAATTGGGGGTCTTTACAAGACAGTTCCATACAAATCAGATTATAAATTTTGTCGTTTGAGGGTTTACAAGGTTCTACAAACTCAAACAAGGGTCTCAACTCTGGAAGTAATCTACAGAAATTGTTGAAATTTGACAGGCTTTTTAGTTTTACTAATTTAAATAATGCATATAAATTTCATACATATCGGATGATAACTTTCATCAATCGAGCATTAATACGGTTTAACAAAATGAAACAAGGGCAATAACTCTAGAAGTAATTATTGTAAATTGCTGAAATTCAATAGGCTTTTTCGTTTCACTAATTTAAATCATGCATATAAATTTCACAAAGATCGGGCGATAACTTTAGTCGTTAGAGCGTTCACAAGGATCAATAAAGTGAAACAAGGGCCATAGACGTAATAAACGGAAATTGCTGAAATTCAATAGCCTTTTTCGTTTCACTAATCTAAATAATGCATATACATTTCACAAAGATTTGGTGATGGAGCGTTCACAAGGTTCAATAAAGTGAAACAAGGGCCATAACTCTAGACGTAATTAACGGAAATTGATGAAATTCAATAGGCTTCTTCGCTTTAATAATCTAAATAATGCAAATAAATTTCAGAAAGATCGGATGATAACTTTTGACGTTAGTGCGTTAACAAGGATCAATAAAGTGAAACAAGGGCCATAACTTTAGACGTAATAAACGGAAATTGCTGACATTCAATAGGCTTCTTCGTTTCAGTAATCTAAACAATGCATATAAATTTCAGAAAGATCGGATGATAACTTTTGGCGTTAGGGCGTTCACAAGGTTCAATAAAGTGAAACAAGGGCCATAACTCTAGACATAATAAACAGAAATTATTGGAATTAAATAGGATTCTTCATCTCACTAATGTAAACAACATATATCAATTTTGAAACAATTGGATGATAACTTTTGGCGTTAGAGCGTTCACAAGAAATTGTGGACGATGGACGGACGGACGGACGGACGGACGGACGGACGGGGGCGACGGCAATATACGTCCACATGCATTTCAATGTGGGCGTATAAAAAACAACATATTTTTCTTTCATCAGTTTTCTTTTTTATTAGATTTTCGTAATTGAATCTGTTTTTGAATGAATGTTAATAATTGTTTTTCGGTTAATAAAATGGTTGCCATGGTAATCAGCAGACAAACACCGCCTATTAAAACATGGAGGCACTTCCCTCCGAATCCACTGTGACAAAAATTGCCCTGAAACGAAAGGAAAATATACGAAAATAAACATTATTACGTGTTCGTGTTTTCCCCGAATTTTTGTTTATAACTTCCAAGAATTGATTTATCACGTGGCTTCATCTGGTTTAACGACCTACTTTTCTGCACCGCATGAACTGAAGACGGGCATACGCCATACAGTGTGCCGGGACAGCAGCACTGCGGCCTACACTTACATCGAATCAACGTGTACACGGGACCTCAGATTTTCGTCCTATCCGGACTACACGCTGTCCATGTCAGGCCCTTCGTCCTGCGGGGGGGGGGGGCGAACGGTTAGCGTGTGTGCACTGCATCATAAGGTCTGTCATTGAGTCAACTGGCGTGCTGTCGATTCCCCGGTTGTGTGTGACAAGAGTAGGGTCGCCTGTCCAACCTTGTGGGTTTTCTCCGGGTATGCCGGTTTCCTCCCACTGCTAAAGACCCCTACGCGCAAGCAAATTGTTGAAATAAAATTGAACAGCGTGTTGGTCCCCGAAATGACCTAGTTTGTGTCCAGTGGACGTAATCTCTCTCTCTCTCTCTCTCTCTCTCTCTCTTCGTCCTGTACCATGGTCTGACAAGGCGAAAAAACGTTAGAAAATCCAGGATAACTTTTTCGGCAAACACCGAGAGCTTTTCAACAACCTAACGCTGTTTATAAACAGTGTATCTGATATATATTTTTTTTTATTAAATCATGTATTTTTCTCTTCTATTTATTACATTTCTATTTATAAAATGTATGATGTATAATAACCAGTGGCTGCCAGGCAGGATACGCCCACATTTTCCAGAGATCGATATAGAACAAGCTAAAAAGAAAGTGATTTTTCCTACAATCGAGGGCCATAATTCATGAAGTTACAATTCGATATGCGCAAATATCGAAAGGAAATGAGATCTTTGGGTTACAAACATGCGTTTCAAGTTTCATCAAAATCGGATTAAAATTGTGACCTCTACAGGGTCCACAACCTTGATAACCATATCTTTACACTATTCGTGTACAACAGCAGCCATTTTGGTCCAATTTTCACGAAATTTCAACTCAACCTTTATTACGGTGTAACGGTGATATATTCAAACGGTTTTTAAAATTGGATAGTAACTGTGACCTTCGGGGGACCACAAGCTAAAAAAAAGGGCTATTTTTCGTATAATCAGGGGCCATAATTCAGGAAGTTACGATCTGATATGCGCAAATATCGAAAGGAACCAAGTTATTTAGGTTATAAACATGCATTTCAAGTTTCATCAAAATCGAATTAAAATTGTGATCTCTACAGGGTCCACAACCTTGATATACCATATTTTTACACTATTCTCGTACAAGCGGCGGCCATTTTGTCTGGTAATTTTTGTCCGATTTTCACGAAATTCGAAATCAACCTTCATTACGGTGTAAAGGTGATATAATCAAACGGTTTTTTAAATCGGATAAAAAGTGTGACCTCTGGAGAGACCACAAGCCAAAAACGCGATTTTTCGTACAATTAGGGGCCATAATTCAGGAAGTTAAGATCCGATATGCGCGAATATCGAAAGGAACCAAGACCTTTGGGTTATAAACATGCATTTCATGTTTCATCAAAATCAGATCAAAATTGTGACCTCTAGAGTGTCCACAAGCTAAAAACGCGATTTTTCGTAAATCAGGGGCCATAATCCATGAAGTTACGGTCCGATACACGCCAATATCGAAAGGAACCGAGATCTTAGGGGGATAAACCTATATTTGTGACTTGTAGAGTGTCCACAAACAAATTGTCGACGGACGTCCGGACCGACGGACGGTCGGACAAACAGGGGCGACGACAATATACGTCCACATGAAAATGTGGGCGTATAAAAACGCTCAAGAAAATTTTATATATTTTTCAATATCTTATCTTGTATTCTCAATCACTTCCTAAATACTAAATGACGTTTCCC